GAAGTTGAGGTAGATGGGGAAGATGGCACCGGCGGCGAAAAGTGCCACGAGGACACAGAAAGAATAGGCTTCGCCATTGTTTAGATAGGCTGCGTAGTTTGCGAAAGGGAAGAAGGTTCCGCCGCTGATTGCCATGGTTAACATCATAGCGGCTGTTTTTGTGTGCTGGGCCGTGCCGCGCAATGAGATGGCAAATATGATGCTGAATGTACCGCTTTCGAAGAGGTAGACTAGCATTGCCATGACGATTGCAGCTGAGCCGTTTAACTTCATGCAGAGGACGGCGCAGACGATCATGCCGATATAGCTGACCATGAGAATCCAGCGTGGTTTAAGGAACCACTGCGCAAAGGCAGCGAGGAAGCGACCGACGGCAAAGACGCTGTGCCCGATTGTGAGGAAGTCGAAAGGAGTTAGAGAAGAATTTGGGTGTTCTGCTTCGACGAAGCGTCCAAATGTTGTTGAAAATACTTCTTGTCCAGCCACGTAGAAGAATTGGGACCAGATGCCCAGGCCCAATGTTAGCCAAACGACTGGGACCCCGACTACCTTGGCCATGTTGTCTTCTCGGCGTCTGTTTGCCAATTCTTTCAGGTCTTCATCCGTGGCTTCGGGGACCGGCAGATAGCAGAATGCCACTGCTAACAGCACGTCGAATAGGGCGATGCCGAGATAAGCCCATTGTACATCGACTAAAGATGCAACATCTTGGACGTTTTTGAAGAGAACTCTTTTGGCCAAAAGGGGTGATAAGACACTTCCAATGGCTTGAACACCTTGTGAAATATTAAGTCGGATCTCTGAATTTTCAAGCGGCCCACACAGTGCAATGAACGGATTCGCCGCTGTTTCCAAGACCGCCAGGCCAAACCCGACTATAAAATTCGACGTAATGAACGCAGGCGTTGATGTGAGAACAGCCGATGGCCAAAAGACAAGTGTTCCACAGGCATAGATGCACAGGCCGGTCATGAAAGTGGACTTGAATCCCCAGGTTCTCAATACAGGCCCACCAACCAAGAGAGGACCAAGTAAGTATCCACCAAAATAGACACCGTGAAGTCCCAATGACGACCATGGTCCCAAGTGCACGATAGTCTGGAATTGAGTATTCAGGATATCAAGTAATCCATATGCAAAGCCCCAAAGGAAGAATAGGAGTGTAGTCAAGGCAATCGGAGCAATTGACTCTCGAGTATTCAGCTTGAGCATACTTTCGGGATTCTTCATGTTGACAAAGTCAAAGAATGTGATATCAGGCGGGTACGATGTGCTAGTGTTGGTATTTGCTTCTGTGTCTAGCGTCGCTGCTGTTTCAGGATGACCCAAGAAGTCCAATATGTCCATTGGTTCATTGGAGTTGCGAGAGCTGTGCCGACGCGCAAAGACGCTATCCTTGCGAGTTGCTTTAACTTCGCTCCCAGTTGGGGAAGACGATGGCAGTCCTAGACCCCCTGGTGCTGCAGCAGGCGATGGCACTGCAAGGGGTGTTTCTCCGTTTGCATAACGTCCGTTTTGCGTGCCATTAGAGGTATCATTGGTGTCTTTGATCAACTTCGGCACAAGACGAGTCACAAGAGGCTTGAGGCTCGGGACGCAACCGCAAATTATCGAGACGTTGACTTCAACAACTGACCACATGAAGGAGAGTGACGCGTACCCTAAAGCCCGTTAGCTCAAATTCGCACGTGTTAAATTGGGAGAAATTGAAGTCGTACAGCTGAAGTCCACCCCTCCATAATTCTGAATATGAATAGATTTGACTTGAAGCGAGCGAGAAATGGCAGCTTGTTGGAGAAAAGCAATTCGAATAACATCGACCACGGCCACGAAGAAGCCAAAGGAAAAAGTGATGACCAAAATGATTTTTTGTTTGAAGGGAAGGCGCATTTGCGTCAGAAGCGGCATCGGAAGGAAGAGAATGGCGAGATCGGTGATAATATTTACCGGGGAGGAAGAGAGGTACAGGGTGACAATGTCGGTGCAATGCGCGTTGGGCGGGACGTCGGAAAGAAACACGGCGTTGAGAGGAGTACATTGGAACACATTGATAAATGTCAATGCGAGGCCCGCTGCGTTCACGACGCCCAGGGTGACAAAGTTCGCCCATCGAAAGACTTTCTGGTTTCGTGTCAAGGTCAGGTAGAAGACAAGGATCGAGGTCTTGACGGCCATTAACGCCGGGTTCTGGGAAGTTGTTAGGGAGGCAGTGGAACAAGGGACCATTGGTACTCACGTAGAGAACGGTAAACGCATAGTTGGCCTTGTTAAAAGCTAGTTCATCCTCCGGTCTGATCTGAGTCGAATGGAGGCCGAGACCTTTCTGCACGGAGAAGAAGAGCGAAAAAGAAAAGCCAAAATCGATAATCTGCAGGCGCATTAGCCTCTGAGCCAACCTTGCTAGGCCCCCTGTCCTCTAGTCCATTGTGACTCCGTCCCCGGGATCATGCAGGAACTGGGCCGAAGAATCCCACATACCCATGCGACCAACATCAACCAGTCGTGTAACCCAATTTTCCTGACCACGAATATGCGCGAAATGAACCGGAGCGCGATGAAGATACTGGCGAGGATGAAGAAGGTGATTGAGACGCCCAGTGTCGCCGGGCGACGACCCTCCATGACTCCGGTGTGTCCGCGCGGACTAAGTAGCGAGCCCAGGCGGGCGTGCTCAGTTCTACTGTGTGGTTTCAATCGCAGGAGGCGGATTAAAAGGAGTCGGCGAATTCATATCGCCAGCGAGGAGTGGTGAGTGAGCCCGGGGGAAATGGGAGGTGAAGAAGACTGAGTTCTGGAGAAGTGGAGAAGGCAAAATTTAGTTTGAGGATCCGGCCGTTTTACCCCGGCTTTGGCCTTTCTCGCGCCAATTGTCGTGTCTCACTAGAATGTCATTGTACAGCTTGCTACTATCGTATTGCCAGTCCAACTGCAATTCAGATTTATATATGTACTCGATTTGCTCTGCCACATCTTGGCGTTCCCTTGCCGCTTTTTGCTCACTGAGTAAATTTGAGCACGTCCCTGAGTACCGTTGACTTGATCGCCGATCTTTACATAATCAAAATCGTGGCTCTCCGGGCATTACCTAATCATCACCTGAGCGCACTGATCCGCTTACTAATCGCCATCTAAGTACCTTGATTCGCTCACAGAGCATAACTTGAGCGTAGGCATAAGCGGCCTAAGTAAGCTATATCAATAAAATGCAACACACTAGTCTATCACGTGCAACGTGCAACCCTTTTTTAGATCGCCTCTATCGTCCTATTAAAAAGGATAGGCGTCGTCAATGTGACCGTTCGTTCTAGACCTATCGATCGGTCTCCTACTTCTGGCTTTGCTCCTATAGATATTTCGTTTATTAGCCCCACGATGCCCTATTCGGGCTTTGGACCTCTGCTAGGGAGATAGCGAGTGGACGGCATTACTTAAAGATCTACAATCTTGCTATGTAACAATGCTAACTGAAGTAATCAATGTTTAGTATGCGACGAAGATAAATTAGTTCGTTAATTGTCACGGAGTCTCTAGGAAGCATGCATTGATTCTCGCAACCACAGAGGATCGACAATGTATAGGTGTCGACACGTTAGCGTTGACTCTCCGTAACGCTGCCCTTCATGTTAAATAGCCTCTTCTAGGTGAACCCGGAAGTTCTTTAAGAATCAGTCTCTATACTCCTGTAATACATCTTCACCTTATCTAGTTGTCAAGCTCTGACCTGCAAAAACTAGTACCCTTTTTACTTTACATATACGCAGCGGAAGTCTAAACATATATAAAAATAAGTTTTTTATTTGGATAAATTAGCAGTGTTATAAACGCTGAGAGATCTTTTTATATAAGATTGGGTTTTCCTAGGGCCCTAATAGGTACCTAGCATTAGGTCTTAGATTGGGTTAGGTTTTAGGTCCAGACTTTGGACTCAAATTGTAGCGATGACAGGGTGGGAATAGTTTCAGCTACGGCCTAGGGAGCTCATACGGTATCGCCGGCGAGCATTCCTAGTTCGACTGCCTTATGAAGCGTCAGAGAGACTCTGTAAATAGCGGGTACAATACAAATTATAAAGAATTCGACGTAAACTAGCCAGCTGGCGGTTGCATAGGTCAATTCCTTCATTTCTGCATTTTTCGAAAACAGCATCGGTTTCCTATTTGGGACTAGTGTAATGCTAGGAGCATGGTCGGTGGTAGAGTACGAAAGTGACTTGATACTTTGTTAGGGGGCTACATAGTAAATGGGATTACCTCAAGTTTGCGCTGGAAGCATGCTCGGTGGACTTTAAGTAAACTGGCGGAAAAAAAGTGACGCCTGACAAATCAGGAAGGAAGTTGTGTTAGCATCCGAAGGGTTATATCGGTATGAATCCTTTATCTAAATTAACTACATTTAGGTATTGTGGTTCTAAATTGCAAGCGGCCACACTGATCTTCCCCCCACGTTAGCCCATTGAAACGTTGTGCATTAAGCCGCCAACCCTAGTTGATATCACCGAGGCGTCTAACCCACCTCTTTTGTAGCAACCGGCGTATATCGCTTTGAATTTACTGCACCACTCGGGCATTCTGTTTTACAGCGGTGGAATTTGGTGTAGGATAAACACTCTGATCTTCATTTTCATCTTAACCCGCCGCATTGAAAAGGGATTACTTTTAAAGATTTCAGTCTGCCGTCAAGTTTGGGATTACGGTTGGTAAGGGCTGGGGAGCGAACACAATTTGGTCAGACAAAAATATATATAAGCAGTTCTGGCTATCAGAATGTCAACCAAGATAACGCAAATTGATCTGAAACCCCAATTTCGAATGTCGTTACAGTGAAACTTCGTTAAAGAAAGATGATGCTTATATCCTGATTCTTAGGCATAACTTTGGGGGGCGGATCAACGCCTTGCGTTTTCAGCCAGCAGTGGTTGTCCGCAAAATCAAGAGCATGACAATCGGTGTCTTGAACACAGCTGTCGAAGCATTCTTGATAAGAAGACACGCCAAACTCTCTCAGAGTGGGGGTAGCGACATCTAAAAATGTAGTTAATATGAAGCCATGCCATTGTTTTGTTGGGAATTTCGAGACTTACGAATGCCACAGAACTGCTTAAATGCCCGGCCATTGCATTGAAAGATTTTTGCATGGGCAGAGGGACCTAAGGAATACTATTAGCATCACCTGACTTGTGGGATACTCGAGAACAAATCTCAGCGCCGCCTTACACTGTGGATTACACTCAACAGGAGCTTCAGGCTCTGGCTCTGGCTCTTCGCAACAGCAGCCACGCCCGAGCCCGCCTCGAGAGCCTGAGCCTTGGCCAAAGCGAGCACCAGCGACCCCAGACCCCTGCCCTGTCAGTCCCTGAGCCTGTGTCGAGGGGAATTCGGCCAGGAACTGAGCACCGCACACAAGAAGTAGATTTAAAAATCTCACCATTGGGAGGAAGAGAAAGGATACGGACAATGGAAGAGGGGGACTTATTGTGATCTCGCACTCTTAAATACAAGCCTGAGCGAAGAAAATTGGAAATATTACGGCTTAATCAACTTCGAGGTGACAGCGGCCATCTCCGTGCCTGTGAGCTAGCATAACTATTGATTTGATGCATATGCCGTGTCACCGATGCCTGCAGCAGGACGCATGTATGATACTCTCGTGTAAATTTATCCCCGCGCCTAGGTAGTACACGTATCCCTGTTCTACACAGGCCCCCTTGTTAGACTGCAGGTCAATGTCACCACGCAGTGATGAAGCGAGGCCTTGTTAGCCGAGTAAAAATGGAAGTTAAATCCGTTTGTAATGGGTATTCAGAAGGGTCCGCCTATTGTATTATCTTTCCAAATATCAGTGCGATATTCCATCAAGTGAGCGATTGTCTCATAATTTTAGTTGATGTTGAAATTTAGGCCTGATGTGGGAAAAGCTCAATTTATAGTGGAGAGAAACCTGGGACATTTTGAGAAGAGGTGTTCATTTTTGTTGCATCTCAATTGACTAGGGTGCGAGGTGCAACAATGGCGAGCAAGCACATTCTGTAGATAAAGATATTGGAATGACAAGACAAATGAGATAACGACCAAAAGATGGCATTGCACGCTCAGCAGAGCTTGTCACAAAGACAAATAGTAAAAGTTAGTTAGGACAAGATAACAATTGCTGATGGCAACACAGTATGGAGGATCTTAACCAAAAATCACTTCCAGAGGGGCACGAAGGCGGCAGTACAGTCGGCGTGGTTCGAGATTGCGGACCCTACAGGCTTCAAAATACATCCGCCGTTCTTCAACCAATTCGCCCCAGCATAATTATTAGCCTCCAACACATAGAGCTGCATACATTCCTCGTGAGTCTTGGCCTCCGGTTTGTATACTGATGTTGTTGCTGTGCCTGTGTAACATTGGTTGCATTTTACCCGGAATGGGTGGTTGGCAACATGAACAAGCTGGTTATCAACACACTGATTCGTGTTGGGCTTTGGCTGCTGCTGTGTGCCACATTTTTGCTTGCCGCAGCCCTCGCACGCCCCAGAACAGCCGACGGAGTGGGCACTAGCAAATCGACTAGCTTCGAGAGTTGGAGGGCTGTCATTGTTGCTCAAATAGCACACTTGTTTGCTTTGGTCAAAGTCAACACTGCTGCAAGAAGGAGAAGCTGCGCAGTGGTCCATGCAATCCTCCAGGGTTGAGACTTTCTCGACGTTAAGGTACGGGGTGCCGTGACGCATTCCACAGCTCATGTAGAAGGTCTAAATTCATTGTCAGCAGGGAACATGGAACATCACCTAAGGGGCTTCGGGAGTATCATCTTACTTCGCCGTATGGGCTCACATAGATCTGGCCATTAGCTTCTGGACAGGTGGTAGCGCACCGGCGAGTTGTCATACTGGGCTGCTTGGTGACCGGGGGGGAAGTCGGGAAGGCATAGAGCTGGCTTCCATGAGAGGTCTGAGAGAAAGAACCAAAGTCAAGGAGGTTGCAATAAAGGGTGGAAGGCTCGAAAGAGACACTGGAAAATGTTAGTAAAACAGTGCACCTAAAGGGTGTGCCATGGGCCAACTCACGTTTCGCAGTTCGCGATCTCAGAGCACTTGTTGAGACATTCCTTCATGCTAGAAACTTGCGGTGTACCGACGGACAGCGCATTGGAAGAGCTTTGGGTGCAGCACTGCAGGTAATACCAGCTGCCATCAAGTGTCTCGTAGATACTTCCATCACCTATATTGTATTAGAAACTAAGAGGTATTTGATGATGGCAAAGAGTCACTTACTCGCAGGACAGGATATGCTAGTGGTGATTGGTGGCGATTGGTTGTATGCCTTCGGTGGGTTAGGACAGGTCCAGGACCCAGGGCTAGTATTACCACCACTGCCAGGGTGGATACCACCGCCGCTGCCAGGTTGGATACCACCGCCGCTGCCAGGCTGAATACCACCACCACTGCCAGGTTGGATGGCACCACCACTGCCAGGCTGGATACCACCGCCACTGCCAGGTTGGATGCCACCACCACTGCCAGGCTGGATGCCACCGCCGCTGCCAGGCTGGATACCACCACCACTGCCAGGTTGTATGGCACCACCACTGCCAGGCTGGATACCACTGCCAGGCTGGATACCACTGCCAGGCTGGATACCACCACCACTGCCAGGCTGGATGGCACCGCCGCTGCCAGGCTGGATACCACCGCCGCTGCCAGGTTGGATGGCACCGCCGCTGCCAGGCTGGATACCACCACCACTGCCAGGCTGGATGGCACCGCCGCTGCCAGGTTGGATGCCACTACCACTGCTAGGCCTAGGACCGGGCTTGATCTGTGCGTTTGTAAGCCCAAGGAGGGCCACCCCAATCAGATACAAAGTGTTGTCAGGCCTCATTGTCTGTAATTTAATAAAAACCGAGTAAACTCCAAAGAAGATAGAGATATAACTAGGTGGGAGGTAGGAGGGGAATACTTATAGAATAGGCCGATTGTGGAAGGGATAACAATCATATGCCGAGTCGATGTGGCCCTCTTTAGTGAACAAATATTCTGTATTACCGAGTACGACGAAACTAAACCCTCAATTCAATAGTTTCTAGTGTTGGAGTAGCCTAGCCTCGCTTTCATGCAAGATAGGATTGGGTTTCTTGTGAAACCTCGCAATAGACCATGCACAAGAACTGTGGTTAGACCTCACCAAATTGCTTTTTTGGGTACACATGGGTTTACCCACGGCCCGCCAAGGACCCATGAGCTTGCATATTACAGAACTACCATCGTAATACAGCCCATACCACATAGGAAGTCGTGCAAGATCGCATATATTGCTGTCATTTAATTTCTTGGCGGGTTTGGGCCCGGGGGCGAAAACCGACCCGCGACTTTGGCGAGGTCTAACTGTGGTATTCCGTGTACGATCTAGACCACTACTCAGCTAGTCCACTACTCAGCTAGCCTAGTATTCAGCTAGCCCTCGTACAAGATAATGCGGGAGTGGACAGATTGAGACAAAGATTGCGGGGATGAATGTACGTAATACGGGGTATCATATGCATGAGGCATATATTTCTGCTCCCGGCGTAACTAATGGAAAATTTGCATGCAAGACAGCACAGATTCACATGATTTATTAAGAAGCAATGTGATTGAGTGCATTGTATATCTGGACTGGGAGATGAAAACATATAAGGGGGTAGAAGACCTGGGTAGTATCGTATCCCCGTATCTAGTCCCAGATCTTGAAGTATAAAGAGACCATTTGCCTTCTCAATCGTCAATTACACCCAATACCCAATCAAGTCTTATCCTATATCTTTATTTGACGTGACTTCAAAGCATTGAAGGTATCCTCTTCTTCCACGGCGGCCACTTCAACTCCATATATTAATGAACCCGGGTTTTCTAGTCCACCACGCAGACAAAATGCAAATCACCAATTTCAAGTTGGTTCTCCTGGCTTCGCTCTTCGGGCAGTCAGACGCCTTGTTTTTCAAGTGGACCAGAATTAGCCCTACCCACTGCGCTATGTTGCCTTTTACCTTCGGATTCCCCGATCCCGGATGTCCTGGTGGTGCAGCCATGCCGGCGCCCGCTCCGCCAGCACCAGATCCAAAGCAAGTCGCTCAGGCATACTGCACAAACATTGCGAGCGGCGCCATTGCTCTGTTTCGAGCCGACGGCAGCCACTATGGTTGCTTCAATAACCCATGTCAAGAGACCTCCCCTGGCAGCAACGAGATCAATGGCGTATGTAGATAATCTTCGACTGGAAGACCACCCTCCAGGACTCGAAAGTATTATCAAGATAAGCGAGGGAGGGAAGAGCACCTGGAAGAAATACGGTAGCATATTCAGAGGGAAAGATTATTACGCAGGACCGTTGATTTTGCTGCAAACTTAACGTTGTGATTATTGAATTTTTGTTCCCTATTTGCTTTTAGGTTGATTGGACAAACACTCTTTTCTTTTATTTAATCAATATAACAGCTTTTCTTGTTTTAAGTCTGTCATTTCAGTGTAAAAATTAATTTCTATTTCTACAAAGAATTGTACCACGTTTCTCGCAGTCCACTCGTTAATTTTTCCCATGTAGTTAGGTACTATCGTGGCCTAAGGTCATGATAGGGTTTCCCGAGGCTTTTCCTTTGGACATATCATTTTTTGAGGATGTGCCCGCAGTTGCATGACTAGTTCGACCCACTCAGATCTTACCTGCATATACCCGCATACAGTTTGCGGGAACCTTCAGCTCGCCCCGACCCAGCCCCGTGGGGATTCTGTCACTTGCAAACAGTGCTGCACGATGAATGTAACCTTGGGGAAGCTTTCCTTGCTTTTTTTCATGCACGCCAACTAGATGAATCATGTTGGCTGGAACTAATGCTCCAGCTGATACTAGCCTGCATACGACAAATAAACGGTACCGAAAAGATGAAGGGTTCTGTAACGAAAAAATCATGAGCTTTAGGTCTTTCCCAGTGCGCCCACTAGATTCCTCCATCTTTTCTCAATACCAGCTCAGGTGCAACCAATTCTTCAATCCCATATTAATTTTCTCACATAACCATGGCCGTCAATGAAATCGAAAGATTCCATGTTACAATCCCTCTATCGATACAGTTTGAGTCCAATTCACAGGGCGTCCATGTGGTCGGCGTGTCCATGCCAGATGAACGTGTGTCTGTCCTCGGTCTCGACGACGACCAGCCATCAATTGCACCGACAAACTTCGAGCCCGATGGTAAAGTGTGGCCGGATGGATTACAGGACTTAGGTCTCATCGCTGCCAACGAGTCACTCGCCTGTCCGGATTTCTCGCACATAGAGTACTTCACACTGCATGAAGACCCTCTTATCATCTATATCCCCAACTTTGTTTCTGCAGATGAGATTATGCACTTGTTGGAGTCTACGTATGCTGCCCCTCCTCTCCGGAACTGAACTATTGAGGGTTTTAATGCTTGACTTACAGGAAAGAAAGCTTCTCTCCATCTGTGGTCTACCGACACGGAGTAAGTAGCAACGATGACAACTTCCGAAAATCAGAAAATGCATGGCCTCCACGGGACGAAATTTTGCAATGTATCGAACAGAGGGCAATCCGTTATCAGAACCTAGAGTCAAAGCTGCTCATGGAACCGTTATCTCTCCAACGTTACCATGAGAATGGCTTCTTTTCCTATCACCATGACCAGTTCGACTCGCCGCCCAATCGTCTCAATCGCTATTCAACTTACAATGTGTTTTTGCAAGGCAACTGTACCGGTGGTGGCACCCACTTCCCTTTGATTAGGCGACCAGAACAAAGTGCCTGGTGCGACTACATCGACTGTACATCGACCGAGCCCGGGGTCATTTTCAAGCCAATTGCCGGTAGCGCCGTCTACTGGGTCAACATTCGGGAGGATGGACGCGGTTATCGGGAAACAATGCACGCAGGCATGCCGGTAAAATCAGGTACTAAGATTGGTATGAACATTTGGAGCTGGAAGGATACGAGAGAGGAAGTTGTCCAAACGGGAACTTTGCATGTACAATAGTTCAGAGCCAGCAAGCTCCACTAGGCGAAGTGATATCAAGAATTTTTATTTCGAGTATCAACCTCTAAGCCTTAACTTGGGCTCCATCTCATCGTACTTCGTACCTTCAATTGACTTCAGAAAGTTCAAACATTAGACACCTTGCTTTCTCATGTGCTAAACCTTTTATTTTGCGAAGTCGAGCTGTTCGCATTCAAAATTTCTTTTTCCAACCTGTACATATACTGGAAGGAAACCAGCCTTGCCTAAGATCGACTCCAGTCTTTCGTCGAGGTAGCCGTTATTTTTGGGTTCTAGTAATTCTGCGGCGACAGGGAGTAGGCAGAGCAACATTTAGGGAGGTTATACATGCAATAGGTCTATCGATATGTGATATGTAGGGACATGATCAACATCGCCTTTAGTTCTATTACTATTAAGCACGAGTAGCAATGAAGACAACGTTGGGGGAAAAGTCCATGGATAGCCTACTGTAGCCGTAGGTAGAATACGCCAAAGAATAGGGGATTGATGAACCTACCCCTCTTTGGTAATTGTAACGAGTTATTACATTGGCGCCTATACTACTCCGTAGTGATCTTGGCATACATGCTTCCTGCTGCAGGAATTAGTTACATGGCGTATGCATCGACTCAGTAGTTATGCGGGCTCACAAAAGCGGCAATGTCAGTGCAACCTTGAAGCTGATCTACACCGTATAGCCTTCTATTTAATAGTGCGGGATCAGAATAATTCCCGCCCTTCCATTGTGTCTATAATTCCCCTTGCCACTATGGTCAAGATTTTCAATCTACTTCTTGTGTGCGGTACTCAGTTCCTGGACGGATTCCCCTCGACGCAGGCTCAGGGACTGACAGAGCAGGGGTCTGGGGTCGCTGGTGCTCGCTTTGGCCAAGGCTCAGGCTCTCGAGGCGGGCTCGGTCGTGGCTGCTGTTGCTACGAAGAGCCAGAGCCCCCTAGTATTCCAGAACGTAAAATCTGTGAGAGTTGGCCATCCTAGAAAATGTGGATATCGCATCTGATTAATCCGGTTTTTGATAGGTGAAAACGACACGCAACTGGATGAGCAGCAGACCATTACTTCTGGCGACAGAACCTACAGGATCTGGTGCAACGCGAGTGAGTATTACTCCAGAACATTGCAATATCCCCCTAACACAACATAGTCAAGCATGGCGAGAACGACTTGGGACATGACATCGTCGTCAAGAGCATTGATGAGTGTATCGAACTGTGTAACAAGCAGGTGACGTGCGTCCGCGCCATAACTACCAAAGATGAAACTTTATGCTACCTTCGCTCCCATGGCAACAACCTGATTCCTGATTCACCGGGATATATTAGCGCCCATTTGGAGTAGTCCTTCAATGGCTGGTTTGACGTGAAACAATACCTCATTACTACACCATGTCTGCATCAGGGCTGTTGTGAAGGGGACTTTGTATGTTTGTACTTGCCATTAGTCGAGAGCTACTTCCAGTCATTGGACCATGTGTACGGCAGCGGTCACTTCCGGAGTTTAAGCCGTGAGACCTGCGATCATGTATGGATAGCTCGTCTCCACGCTCAACATAATAATTCAAACGGGTGATTTGTCTTCATACGAAACTGAGAGATTTTACGTATGTGAGGAATTAGTTTTCATCAGTTTGAGATCAGACAAGTTTAGCTAAGAAACGAAATGGAGACAAATGCGTATAGCTCTATGTCGCGACGAGCGCACCCGCTCGCACTAAAGTTCGAAGGTTAGGTTTCAATAATTATGCACTCCAGATGCTCGGGTTTTCCGAACAAGTGTTTCAAGTGTGGCGGTGGTCTGGTGAGCCCGACTGATTAATTCAGTCGGTAGGAAGCCTTCCGGTCGTTACAGAAGCATATCTCGTAGCCCAGTCCCCACCCTATCACCTGGAACCAGACCTGCTGACTCGCTGGTTAGATTCTACTTATTGATAGAGAAGACCCACACATATCGGTTGGAGGCAATCAAATTTATTTGCAGAATTTGCGGTTGATATAGTTAAATGGGTGTCTCCAGCACTGTAATGACTGTGTAGCCTGAAGCACGGGTCATAACTGTGCACTGAGGCATCGTTTTGCCGCGAGATGCCTTTCTTGAATATCCCATATATTTTGGAATAAATTTAGCATGTCGTTGCAAACCCATTAGCCAATGAGATAGGAAAAGTGTGCGGGACAGTACGGGACGAGATGAATCGCGATTCCATGAGCTGACAGGACGGGACGGGCATGGGAATCACTACGAAAAGGCAAGTTCTGGACAGTAGTAAACGTAACCTTGAAACGATTCCAAATTACATCTAGACTCGTGGGGGTTGCAGCATGTATCTTTGTCACGAAAGACGATCCTGGAGTTTGGGGAGGGCGACGAAAATATAAATAAGAGCAGCCTGTTTATATTAAATGCAGGTACCCGCGGGTCACCCGCAAAGAACCTATGTACTTGATTTCCTCTGCCACTTCTTGGCGCTCCCTTTCCTTTTTAGTGCTTAGACCTTGCCGCTTTTTGCTCACTGAGTAGAACTGAGCACGCCCCTAAGCGCACTGAGTACTACATAAGCAGACTGATCTACTCACTGATCATCACCTGATAGTCACCTAAGCACCGTGATCCACTCACTGATCATCATCTGAGTGCCCTGATTCTCTCACTAAGCATGAGCTGAGCGTAGGCATGAGCGGCCTGAGTAAGCGGGTTCCAGCTTCGCGGGACCAGCAAGTCGGCGTAAGGTATCAACAAATTAACCCGAAGCTAATCGGAGATAATTTAGTGCACCTGGAATCGAGGCATTCTTACGATAATACTGCGCGTAATTCTCTACACACATTTTAATATCCGTCATACCTGTATTGCAACAGTTTAGAAGGGTGGGACTAACGCCAAGGAGTTGTCGCGGCATAAAATAGGAACCGCTCTGCACCGCTGACCACAAGAGCGATCCAGACAATGGATGATATTGAGTCGGCGACATGTGGTAATTCGTTTATTTCATCTTCAGTAGCACCGCGTCTTTCGTAATCGGCCAGCATTGTGTACACCCCGACCAATGCTATCGACTTAGGGGCTTTCATCTAGATGGAAAACTTGGGAGGAGGTTCTTACGAGTAAGATTGAATGATTGAAGGCCAAATTAAATGACAATATTTTTCTGGATAAACTCCTACAACTGATGGTCCGTCGAACTCTGACTCGACCGATATACCAGTACCGGGCGACAAAGTCGGTAGGTAGCATTTGAAGCATAACCCCAATAATAGATGTGCTTTCGTCTTAGCGGTGTAGAATGGTACAATAGCAGCTAGCTAAAGGGGTCTACTTTGATGACGTGGCCCTGCGGGTGCCATGTATTGACCACTGAGCCAATATGGTAGGTAATCGTGTGGGATGTTTCTACTTTGTATGACTGACAATAGCACGCAAATAAGAGGCGTAATGATGATATACAGATCAGTATTTGACGGCATTCAAAGCTGCAGGCAAAGTGGGGCGGGGCGGTACGATACTACAACATCATGGATCAGCTCGCGAGCATGCAATGATAAATACCCCGAGCAGCTAGTCACTAGCATACGCTCTACACCCTTCAATACCTTTTAAAGAAGTGTGGTTAAGCCATCACCATCAAATCGTCACAGCACATACTGCAATACCGGCAAAGCCCTCGAACTTTTGTCTTTCAAGACAATCATGGATGAATCATTTATACTGTCCGAGTTCGACAAGCTTGTCAATTCTGGCACAGTCATATACAGTGACAAGGAAGAAATAATTGAACATCTTGATGGAGACCTCAAGGTATGCCTCACGCCATGTTTGAATATGGATACATACCCACAGGGATCCTGACCATATTCTCCTAGTTCCAATTCTTGCTTACCTCTGCTCTTGCCAAAAAGCCAACAATTCAATTGAATCCACCAGCGACAAATGGAATCGATGAGCTGGATCAGAAGAGAGAGGGAAGCGATATCAGTACTCATGGCTTTGAGATTGGCGAAATCAGCACCTCCCACTTTCTGGTCGCCAACAAGTTCTGCTGGGCACGGCCACATCTCATGCTCGTAACATCTGACGGCTATCAGCGGCAATATGAGGGTCTTGATCTCAACGATATCAAATCGTTGTGGTCTCTTTTGTCAACATTAGACACTGACTACGTTGCCTTTTACAACTGTGGGCAGGATGGAGGATGCAGTCGATTGCATAAGCACCTGCAGCTGATTCCAACTCCTCCGAACCTCTTTGCGTCCTTTCTTGACTCAAAGGATGGTGAGCCACCCCGAGTTCGGTTTGAATGGTTCTATTGTCGCTTGAATCCCCATGACAAGACGCCAGAACGCTTGCTAGAGATCTATAATCATCTTCTGGAGCAGTCAACCAAGAAAGGGAAGGGACTCTCTGAGAATTTTGGCACGGCTCTACCCAACGCTGCGTGTCCGCACAATTTTATTCTCACAAAACGTTGGATGATGGTCCTCCCCAGGCAACGCGCTGCTATCAATAAAGAAGCTGGGGTCAATGCAATCGGCATGCTTGGGTATATAGCTGTTGCCACCCAGAAAGAGATCGATAACTGGATACGGTTGGGGCTAACTGATTCTCTACGGGAACTCGGAGTGGCCAAGCAAGCAGCCTAGTAGGCAAGATATCCAAGCAGGCTGATAAAACAGCTACTTTCTTTTTACCTTGTGTTATTCTAGAATTGGCAAATGCTTCACTGAATTCAGAAGACCTAGGATTACAATTTCTCGGAATTGTGGACTATTTTACCCAGTAGAGCCATAATGTTAGACTCGGGAGGTTCGTTACGGCGTGCTCGGAGTTCCGTTACGGCGAGCGCGGGGTTCCGACTGTCCGTCGTCATAACCCCAGATCCTCTCACGCGATAGGTTCCCATCATGAATTCGAAATCAACGAAGATCAGAAGAAAAGGTCCACCGCGCAAAAAGGCCTGCAAGATCTGCACAGACTCCAAGGTCCGATGTAGCCTGGAGAGGCCGACCTGTTCGCGATGTTGGACTCGCGGCAAGCAGTGTCTGTATCCCGAGGGTTCAGGCGAAGTACATCGATCAAGCCCTGTGGCTTCGAGTGAAAGAAACTCACCAGATGAGAGCCTCAGCTTTGAGCAGTCGCTTGCGAACTTTACCACTACCTCGACCGCAACAGCGTTCCCGAGTCCTGTGTCTGGCCATGCGTCGGATATACCACAAATCAATTCTCAGCACGAACCGACGCGGACTGTGGACATTGGTCTGACTTTTGATCACATTGACCTCATGCCAATGACAGACGCCGAGAAGATACGTGATCGCTGGCTGCAGCCTTACCTTCTTCCTGCGACGGGGCAGCTCCCCAAGCTGTTTAGCCAGTTTACTGTGCAGTTCCTCGCCTGCGTGCTTCGCTCATACCCCAACCATCTTCTTGATGAGAAGAGCCTCCCTCCATTCATTCACCCACTGCAACTTAACAACAAAGCAATGCCGCGAACAATAGCGAACTGCTTTTCTCTGGTGCGCATGTGGATGAACAGAGTTCCGGGAAGCGAGGCAATTGTCTTGTCAACTGTCAGACAGGAGATGGAGAGACTTTCCCGAGAAGTATGGTCTGTTCCCTTCCATCGAAGATACTCCTCTAACCATGAACTAGGATACGACAAGTGACTTCGACACATTATGTTCCTTCCAAGTATACCTCATTTACCTACTAACAGCTTACTTCTCTCCAATCGACAACGCCTCCCTAGTAGACGACATGAATCTGATAACCCTCCAAGACCTTGCCTTCCGCGCCGCAAAGACAGGTTTTATCTGCAAAGCGGAGCTTTCGCAAACGCAGCCAACTTGGGAATCATGGATCATCGCCTCTTCCAAAAGACGCACGCTGTTCACGATGTACCTCTTCACAAATATGTACAACTTCGACAAGGGTCTTCCCAATTTCCTGTCGGATGAGTTAAAGGATATGTCGGTTCCTGAGAGTAAGGCGCTGTGGGAGGCTTCTGATCGAGATTCTTGGACGAGGGAGTATAATCGGCAACTGTCAAAATGGGAGGACGGGATGCTGAAAATTTCAGAGCTGTGGAGATCGTCGGAGACGGGGTCGGAGGCGAGGAGGAAGCGAATTGGGCGGTGGGTGCAGTCGACAGATGAGTTTGGGATGATGCTTTTTGCAGTTTGTGCGCATATCCATGGGTGCTGACCATACTGTGGGAATTTGCTACAACATAGCTATTCTGTACTGTGATATAGCCAATAAGGGTTGGTCTCCTAGAAACTTTATTTCATTCGCTGAAGGAATCGACTTGGCTGTCGCGTGTACGAATGTGCAGAAGATGGATATGAATTCTTTGCGAAGCGACGACTAGTGATACTGTTTCGTGCTCCCAACTATTGCGGGGATAATGCAGGTGCTATAATGGCCGACAATTCTTCAGACATTACTGATTGGACTGCCGTTAGTTGCAAAACGCACTGAGAAGGAAAAAGCTTCTCTTTCTCGAGGATTGGAATTTAGTAAACCAAGGCCCTTGAGCGAAACACAACTTCTTATGCCGTCTTCATTGATTGTAGTGGACACCTAGCCGCGGGAGGGCCCAGATAATTACATGCATACTCCTTGTATATAATCGAAAATGGCTTCGGGCAACTCCAACTCGGAGTTGATGTCCAATCTCAACGTAAAGACTTAGTATAAACATACATTGGATTGAAGACATGCCGAGCTGGAATAACATGTACAGTAAGTATTAGCGTATCTCTTGAGCAAAAAGTGGGATAAACAAGCAATGAAAAACCATGAAATACATTTACATAAAAATAAAAATAAAACAAAAGAATGAGGGCGAATGATATACTACATTTGGCCAAGACTTATATACTCCGAAAGTTTCGGAGTTCCGAACTAGCAATTTCAATGTCCATGACGTGGTCGCATTAGCTTGGCTACATATATTCCAACTTTGACTAGCTGTAACCACTCATCTTCATCAACCTCCAATGGCTTCCCTCTCCATACCCAAGCCAGGCGCTGCTCCCAACGTCTCTCGCGACGCCAAAGAAACATATAATATTCTTAAGCGTGGTGGAGTTGTCATCGTCCCAACAGATGTTGGCTACGCACTCTTAACCAGCACGCAGGCGGGAATCCAGCGGATATTCTCAGCCAAAGGCCGTCGAGAGGACCACAACATCGGCATCATCGGGACATACAAGCAACACCGAGAGATCCATGTACTCTCTGAGGCCAAGTTTGAGATGACACGGGTCCTCACAGAAGATATGGCGATGATCGTCGGGGTCATTGCGAAATACGATACCGAAAACCTTCACCCGCGTTTGGCAGCTCTCGATTCCGCTACGCTATCCCAGGTCACCAAGGGCGATACGGTCAGTATCGCAGTTCCCGAAGGGCCATTTCTGCAGGAACTCGGCCGCCTTTGCGACGAGGATCCCGAGGGCATGTTAACATTCGGGACTTCGGCCAATCTGACCGGCCAGGGGCAACGATTCCGGATTGAAGATATTGAGCCGAAGGTGATTGACGCGGTAGACTTGGTGGTAGACTACGGTCTACAGAAATGGCAGGCGTATAGGCGCGGCGGCGTGAATTTCGATGCAGAGAACATGAAGGTGTTACGGAAGGGAGCCGGATACGAAGTCTTTCGCGACCGAATGCTAAGATGGTTCCCTCAGTTACTGGAGGAGGCCGGTGTAAGCATGGAGGAGGATCTGGATTACAAAACAAGCGAGCCTGGGATTCGTGCAAACTAAATCAAAGTTTTTCGCAGATTGATTCCCACATAAAGTTTCCTCTGCTCTTTTTTAGGTTCGTAGCGTTATCGGCAGCTCTTCACAATGCTGTCCGATTGCAATAAAGATACTGCCAACTAGACATTGTTTGAAGATATGCCGAGCTGGAGCATGACGTACCAGTACTAGTACCCGTCACTAGATCTAGCAGTGGGGTGAACAAGTAATCAATAAATCTATAAAGGTAATTGTACAGGAAGAAAAGAAGAAGTGATGAAGCCTTTATGTAATATTAGATCTAGCGGAGACCAATGAGCGCGGATGGCGTCAGAGTCTCGAAGGGAGAGGCATCTGCCACCGAAATCATCTTCCAGAAAGGCCGTGCCAACTTTTTAGTTTTCCACACGTTGGAGTGGTATGCAGCAATGGGCAGTTGAACCTATGGCATCTAGCGCGAAGCAAAGATAGGCAATCTAGGAACCCGTCGTGAGATGAGTTGGTTAGTTCGCAAATGGGCTCCGAGAACGCAATTTCTTGCCGTACTATATTACACATATTAGCCAATAATAATATATCAACATTTAACCCATCTGAGCGCAGGCCTGGCGGCAAACTCACTCGTTGCAATATAAAAGGTAAGGGCACCATGGCAACAGCGATGAACCCCAGCATGCTCGAGGCCCATCCAATTCCAAGTGAATTTAACATGCGTGGTGCAGCCAGCGGCAGTGCTCCTCCGAACGAGCTTCGAAAGAAGGTGTTACCGGCAAATACGCTTGCCACATAGCGCGGATAGGATTCGCCTAGGTAATTGAGAATGGATTGAAAGGTGAGGTAGAAGCCCGGTGCAAAGAATGCTGTTCCGATTACTGGGACGATCCAGTGTACGCTGTGTGCAGGTTAGCTTCCTCCTGCTAGAATAAATTGACTCAAGTGTGTGGCTAGCTTACCTTGCTCGTGATGTCCATGCAAAGATGAAAAGGCAAATCGGAATGCAAATAGCTCCTATTTGTCCAGGGACCAGGCGAACCTCTGGCTCGACAACGACATTTGCATTTGCCACCCGTGGCTGGTAGGAAAAGTATAACCACAGAACGTATGCAACGACCGAAACCGCTGCTCCAACGAGGATACCGAAAAAGGCAACTGGAGAAATTCATTGTTAGCGCAGTCCTTTCACAAAGTCAGAAGAGGGAAGCTCACGGCCTTGCTGGATAGCGGTGAAATGATAAATGCCGTCAAAGACTGTAGAATCACTTCGGTCAACACAACGTGGGTAAAATGCATCGAGGATAGCTTGACTTACCGAACGGGAAGAACTCGAACCATAGGTATAGGACACCGTAAACTAGCATTGTGTGCATGTTGACAAATAGAATGACTGGGTCCAGACAAGCAAGTTTGAGATCGTTGCCCATGTCCTTGACAATTCGTACAGCGAGACTTTCGCTTGATGATTCGATCTCAGCTTCACTCTGGTAGGCAGGATTGCCCGTCTGCGCACGAAGGCAATTTGCTCGGCGAAGAAGGATATTCGAGGATGACGTCTCAGGTAGAAAGAAGAAAACAGATACGGTCGTGAAAGCCGTGATGCCGGAAAGGAGCCAGAGCGTCGCTGTCCAGGATTTCCAACGCTTTCTGTACGGTAAGTATTAGTGTCACGTAATATCAGCAATTCGCAGCACAGATGACGAACATTACAAGGGTTCCAAGAATCTGTTTTGGGAAAGATTAGAGAAGCCATAGATGCTAGGTGCATGTAGAATGACATACCGGTCCTAGAATAGGCCCACAAACTCCGCTAACTGCGTAGAATGCAATAGCGTAGGGAGCCTCAGTTGGTGTACAGATTTCCATCAGCGAGGCGCCGCCGACGCTGATAGGTGTGCTTCCGATGAAGCCCCCCAAAAAGCGCAGTATTAAAACGGTTTGTAGATTATTTGCCAGAGCCGTTCCGATGTTGAGTAAGCAGAAAGCAAGGCAGCCAAGGACATATACCGGCGAACGCCCGAGTGTCGGCAGGCTCGACAGAGGGGAAAGCTGGCAATATGCATGGTTAGTACAATACCCGTGGCCTTCTGGAGGCGCAGACATACAATTAAAGGCCCTATTCCATACGCAATAACAAAGAGCGAAAGCCCCAGTGTGCCCGCAGCAGTGGTAGCCCCGAACGCTTCTTCGATACCCGAGATACTCGGCGTAAAGATTGCCGATGCTGCATAGAAGCTGAAGTTCAAGAGCATTACGTTGAGCCCAGCAACTGTCCTTGCCGGCGTGGGCCAGTTTCGAGGGATGTCTGGATCGTCAGGGCCAACGAAGCCTACTATGATCCGCTGCTGGGGGTCAGGGCTTGAAAGGCCTTCATCTTTGAGACTTTCAGGTCCATTGTAAGAGAAAAACTGGCCCTTCAATGCATAGTTCAGCAACCGACCGAATAGACTGTCACGGAGTAAAATGTTCAGGCTCTCCATGGTCGAAGTTGGATAGGACACTATACTCGCTCTTGTGCGAGTGCGTCGATGGCCTTATATATTTATCGACAGTGCGCCGAAGCCGGTCAAGACTCCGAAGACTTAGCCACTTCGGGCAGCCGTAAATTCCCTTCTTAGGAATATCGGAACACCGCGCAAAGCACCCTTTTTAATGATGGCACGAAAGTACACTGCTCAGAAACTACCCGGGACAGCCGCCAGGCAATGATCGGGGCGGTGGATAAATTCTTACAAACATCAATAGTATAGGACTGTGAATATTACTGTTATATTCTGAACAACGAAAGATATAGCCATGATAATTTTTTCCCCGAAACTACACAATAGATTGGATATATAGATTTGATCTCCGGACCTCATCTCGGAATTCCGAGCTCGTATCCCGATTCAGAAGCGCGAGCATGACGTCTCTCCGTGGCGATCGGAGTTGATGGCGTGGATATACTTCCGAAACGATTCGCAAAAGCCGCGCCGACGTCCAATTACCGGCCTCAAACTGTAAATAGAGATTGAAGACGCACAACACACGTTCCCGCCCTCGCTATCAACCAGACCTATCTAGCCCGGTCTGACCGAGTCCGCAAAAAGCAAGCCAGCTTAACCATCATCTTTGCACGTGACACTGGAATACAAAATACAAATATCCAAGGAGCTTGGTAGTCGGCTGTTTCCAAAATCTATACATCGCTTGAAATCATCCTTCAAATCAAAGTGTCCATCATGATCAGTCCGAACAAGGTTTCGCCATCTGTCCTTGCGGCGCGTGAAGAGCTTAATCGAGCTCTGGAAGCCAAACATATTGACGCCAGGCAAATGGTACGAGTATCCCAGCCCTGCCGGCTACAGACGGGCACAGCTTGACGGGACAACGGGAGATGGAAAGCAGACTTTTGACTCGGAAGCCATTGACTTCTTTCTCCCTTCAAGCCATGGCGACCATTCCATCCTCTTGAGGCAATTTATATCCAAGGGAAAGGTATCTAAAGATGTATTTTTGCACTTTCATGGAAGTCAGTACATGTGCATGCGAACAGTCCCTACCTAGACACCAAGTAACCATGTTCTCTTTGCGGATGGATTCAGTACCAGCTCAGCCCGCTTGAACGATGGTTACCTTCGTTAATTGGCCGACATGCTATCGCTTACGGCCGTGACAGTCGACTATCGCAAAGCACCCGAGAATCCTTTTCCCGCGCCGCTGGATGATGCCCTCGATGCTGCGCTCTTTGCTCTCTCACCAGATGGGGAACAACTTCGAGGGCGGCTCATCATCTTTGGTGGTGAGTCTGCTGGTGCCTATCTCAGCGTATGGACTACCTTGGAGCTCGCCACCGAGGAATAGACGTCATGAGTTGTATCAAGGGTTTGGTGGGCCTCGTAAGGAATCTATGACATGACATATCTCCCTTCTGCAAGGCATTATTCCCGCCGTCTGGTGCTCAATAATGAGGATGTATCGCGCTTCATTGATATGGCATTACCGGAGGACGTGTTTCCACTAAGTGTCCGGAAACAGCCTCATTATTCGCCGTTATATGCTGATCTGAAGGGTTTACCTCCCGCGTTCTTTCTCATTGGCTCTGAAGACCCGCTCCTCGATGACTCTGTTTTTTTTGGGCCACGAAATGGACGATGGCAGGAAATGAAACATCTTTGAAGATTATCCCAGCCGCGTTCCACGGCTTCACGTTATGTCCCATTGACGAGATAGCCGATGAGCGCATTAGAGAGGTTGCTAATTTCTTTTCCTCACCGTTTAGAGGCCAAGGACTGATAACTTCGTTTGCCCAAGATTACAAATTCGTCTTTCCCATTTACTAAGTCCCCACTCTCAAGTAAGTCCTCGTGTCTATGACAAGGGGCTCCCCGCGTTTTGTTCAACATCTTGGCAGGATCCAGTTGCGGTAATATATAATGGCATAAAAATAGCTTCTGTATCATACTCGTATGTTCCATAGGTTTCTAGAACGATTATCTGCAAAGAAATCAAACAGATCTAAGGTGTCTGGCCAGCCTGGCACCTCTGCTTCCCACCTTCCGTCAACCGCTCGCACTCCACAGGACTGGACACTGTGGGCCCCTCGCATGTGAAATATGTTACGGGTACCGCATCTGAAAGATCACTTGTCGGATTACCAGTCGAAGGGCAGATCGATGAAGAGACGCTACGCTACCTCACTACAACCGGAGAAATTCTACCCCGTACAAGTTGGTCTTATTTAATGACAAGTGTCGTGTCAAGGGCAAGCTTGCCTACAGTGCCCACTTAACAAGTTGGCTATGTCGGGATCTTCGGTGTCTAACTATTGAGGTTAAGAATTCGGAATGCAGTAATCAAATCCCTCATTAGAACGTAGCTATCCCTAAGGTTCTACTTTGCGAGCTACCACTCCTATCTCAAGGCGATGATAAACTTCTCAACCGTATGCTGTGATGCTATCGAGCGCATCCATAGGGAGGAAGTCTTTTTCCTTAACATCCCTTGACACATAGCCATGCGAAAATTAACACTTAGGAAGGGTTTCTATAAAAGCGTGACCAATTAGCCTTAGGACCCAATAAATCATAAATGAGGGAGCATTACTTGAGTTGCAATGGTCCGAAGTATAATATCCATTGATATAGCACTTCAATTCATAGTTATAGTCCCACGCGCTTGGCGTAATTAGTTTCAATCCATAATTTCTTCAAGCATTAGCTTATACACTTGACTTACCACACCCCCTCATAACAGTCCCCCGTCTTGTAGCAAGAGAAATCCCAGGCGTCTCCATCCCCAATAGTGGTAACAACGTGAGCGTCGAAGTACGGCTTACTTCTGCATTTGACAGCGCCGTCATTATTGAAGACATTGCACATTGTTCTCTTTTCGATGGTTGGAGATGCGCTGACCAGGAGGGGTAGGCCCAAACAAAGAAATGTGGAAATAGTCTTCATGGTCGGAGTTGATTATGGGGCTGCAGATGAGTCTAAAGATTATAGAGAGTCTTCCGACAGGGACGATTTGCGCTTTTTATATGCGTTCCTAGAAGTCGACTTGCTAGAAATAGAACGGGAAGACCACAGGCTTTAGTTGCTTTTTTGGCCGGGAGTAGTTATCTCATCGAGATAAGGTCCACTGGGCGTTTGTGTTCATATTCTCCTATTGGATGTTACTATAGAGATTCTTCTATAAGGGATGTCTGGTATACGAGGTTACATCGCAGACACCCCTTCCTGTAGATTCTCCCGGCCGCACGACACACGGCACAGGCTAGGGAGCTCTTATACTCCAGCTCCAACGCCTGCTTTGAGCTGGTGAAAAGGTCAGCATGATGAAGGGGTGGAAGGCACTGATTGTGATTTGACGCTAACGCCTCGCCTCGTGTCTATACGAGGATGGACTTCTAAATCTAGCATTGCCAAGACGCCAAGGGAAAGGGGTATGCTGTGGATACAACCGAAAGAGCCCGTCCCGAGCCGTATCTGGACACGTTCTATTCGTGGACTAATTTTGTGCTATAAAATTGAGTTTCTAGGACCACCGAAAATACACCACAAGCGAGTACTAGAAACAGAAGGCCACTCTATTGATTGTATCCTAGGAAGTAAAGGCACATAAAATGTTGCCACGGAAGCACACACACCCGCACCAATGTGAACCCAGCCCAGTGCCAAACATTAATCTTCTGAAAAGGATGCTACCGAATCGCTAGCCTATACTAGTACGGCGAGATAGAACTTTAATATTGTTGCCCAATTAGAATGTTAGCGAAGGGCTGCAGGCTATTTGTAGTAGTACTCTAGGCAATAATCGAAAGCTCTGGATTGAAGAGTTGTTTTCCAGACAACCCTACAGGCTGACCAGTGACATATTACATGATTGATTAATGCTTCGTTACATATCTATCGATATGAAGACTCGATAGATTTAGATGTAGATTTTTAAATAGTCACATCGTTGTTTTCTACGCCATGGATTTCTCTTTCATCAGACCCTTCTTGATCTTCTGACACTCCACTACTTGTAACTACGGCACTTTTGAATGTGAGCAATGGTGTCAACAACCTGTATCCCGCATACGACATCAAATATATTAATGAGGATTCAAAGTTCTATCTATCAAAGTGTGGATAAAAAGGAAATAAAAGGGGACACAAAGAAAGTAAAGAAAATCTACAGGCAGTTGCTGCCTGCGTATGTGATGATCTATAGTATACAGTCTTGATCACTTAGATCCACAACCCAGAGCCCGAGTCTGTGAAAGCCCATTTGCAGAGGAGGGAGCGAACAGACGAGAACCCTGGGTTTAAATCGGAGGCTGGATCTCAACCAATCCGTAGCCAGAAACTGGCTCACCATTGGGTCCAACGCCGGTGACGGTGACGAACCCCTCGTAAGTAACAAACGTATCGGAGCGAAGCTCTTGGTCCTCGTGGGTGGACTTGACAGTGAGACGTGTGTTGTCCTGTAGAACGATCTCCCAACTCTGCGAGTAGGTATTGTTGGAGTTTGGGGAGACCCAATTTGGGCCAAAGGGCTCGTAGGCCTTCACGGGCATGACATTGCTGACGCCAGGGGTGGACTGGGTGGTTGCCCACTGACGATGGCCGACGTCATTGCTATCATAGCTCCATATAGACAACAGCCGAGGGGATTCCAAGTGGTGAGAGCTCACGTGCAGCTGGAACCAGGTCCAGTTTAAGCTAGCAGGAGCACCGATATTCCACTGGCGGTCGTACCAGGTGAAAGAATGGTCTGTATCGATGGAAATGGTCTTGCCCTTGTGGACTAAGCTGCCGGTCGTGCTGCCGGCTGGCATGGACCACTCGCCTGTCTGATCTATCCCAAACTGGAAAAGGCCGCCATTACCGGTGTTGAAGATAACAGGTGCGGAAAGGTCGAAGGTAATATCGAACTGCACGTCGGAGTTTGTGCTGGCGGTCCGGAGCTGCTCGGTGGCGTTTCCAGGGAGCGAGGAGCCGAAGAAGAAGTCGTTGGTAGTGATATTGAAGCCGCCATTCTGACTGTTATCAAGAAGACCGCTGTCAGTGGTTGTTGTCGTAAATTGGACAAAGTCGGGTTCGGTAATGTCATAGATCGAACCGCGATAGATCGAATAGGCGCCGGTGGCAAGGACATGAGACAAGATCATGTACTGGTGGTTGTTGTCTCCGTGGACGAAGGAAGAAATCCACCACGAGTTGCTTGCGTGGGCAATTTCGCTGTTAGAAGTGTTGAAGTTAAAAGGAAGCGGAAGTGGATCAATCTTCGCGTCCAGAAGTTCGGATATTAGCAAGCACAGAATCACGTGGAGCATACTTCTTACCAGCTGAGCCCTCTGAAGACCGACGGTAGAGGGTTTGAAGGCAAAGCCAGAGTGTAAGTAGGCCTGAGCTTGTGTAGCCAAGAGCGTACTGGTGAACTTGAACACGGTGGACAAATGCATGGTGACGGAGGTAACAAGCCTTGGTCCGTTTGGTGAATGAATTTGAAACTGTTGTGATCAAAGCTGCCTTTATAGTTTCTCATTCCGGCAGTTTCGAAAGCTTTCAGGTTCCAGGGAGCTTATAGTATAAGCCGGTGATGGTGTATATAGTACGCGGCGTTAAAAAGCTCCGGAGGTGGGGTGTGAATGTTCTCCGGAGGCTTGGCTGGCTCAGGAATATTGGACCACCTTTGCCGTTCATCCTCGTGTGGATGATCTGTACATCGGCAGTTCGGTACGAGCAGGAGTTTCGGGGGCAGTTCTTTCCCTCAATCCCTGATTGACTCGGCGCGCATACACTTCGGATCTCCTTACTCAGCGGCTTTAATTGCGGGTCCGGGGGATCTACATCCGGCTCAGGACTGTAAAACTAGTGATCACGGGAGAGCTGAACTGAATGGTCATGTACAGATAGCGCATTTTACAAGTTTCAACCTCTCAATAGCACCGTAGACGCAGGAAAGAAGCTTTGCTGCAATATGTTCCATTTTGTATAAAAGTTCCAGCTGGCTCTCGTTTACCCTGCCAAAAGGGCGCATCGAGAGTCTTTAACTGAGAGCAAAAATAGTTAATCTAGCGAATTCAGGTAGGTTATAATCGATCTACAGGTATGGCACTACACCAATAGATCCAGAAATGCAATGCAGCCATCCGGCACGATAGGGAGAAAATTGAAAATCAAGCCTTCGGATGAGATAATTTGCCGGTCCATGAGAGAGAAACTTTGGAAGCTTGAAACTCTTACTCCCGCTGAGTCAGCGGAACGTAGCTTCATCTTGGCAATGAAGAAGCAGATGGGAGTCCCACGACAGTTCCATCTTTGAAGTGATTATTTACCAAGAAACAATAATTTATGTTCCCGTATTTTGAGGAATTTATCTCGCACCGACGAACGATGCTTGGAGATGGCAACCAAGGTTGAAGTCTTGCGCGGTAGAAAACAGATTATCTACCTATAATAGAATCAAAACGACATTCCCCAACAGTATCAAATCTTTCGTCAATTATAATACTAGTAAGCAACATTTCTACTGTTTTTCATTAGCCCGAGTATTATTGGCTCATTACAACAGTTCTAATCCAAGTTCTGTAGGAATTGTAATCTCCATTATTTGGAGTACTATCTTTGCTTCATCTTCTTGGGTTGGAATATCGAAAACAACGAGGTTAACAGTCTATATATCTCCACTGGGCCCTTTTTCTAGTAGCAAGATAAACAATATCTTCGTTCTGCCGCTTAGAAATCCGGTCAAGCGGACACAACCCACTGGCGCCAGTTCCCTTGATATCACAGCCAGCATCAATTTGTTCCATGCATCTATTCAAGATTCCTTGGTCTTTTCTCGCTTGGTTCAATCGGCGGCACAAAATAAGGAAGTCGTCCTCAACTGCGCGACAATTCATATTTTCGTTCTGCGTTCCACTTCCAGAGGTTTGGTTACGGTAAACTTTCTACACAGCAGTGTCAGTCTTAGCATACATCTCAGTGATGGTGTAAATAGGATGTTTACCGAATGCGAAGATGAGGTGTTGGTATCAGACCGGAAATAACATTTGCTCCCATCTAAGAGCCTCTCCGAGCATGTTGATCTTAGCAAATATCGATTGCTTGTCGAATTTTGCTCCAAAGAACACATATCGCGCAGTCGCAGATTGGTCTGGCGGGGCTAATCGAGTAAGATATCCGACGGTCTAAATTTTCGATTTGATGTCTTTGTCCCGACTTAACAGGGGAAAGTACTTGTACCTATATTCTGTCACCCAGCATGATGCCTGTTAAACGTTACTGGTTACCATACAATAATTAGAATTTATGGCGTCTCTTACTGTCCATGGTGATAGATGAAATCTCGCCAATTGGGACTGATAAATAAAAGCTTCCAGAAGGTTTCGATGTGAAAACGAGTCTTGTAGAGGGGCGAGATAGCCACGGGTTGGCGAATTCTCACTCATGTCAATGCCTACTGTACCGAGCGCCACTCAAAACACCACGTTTCATGTACCATGGTAAGACTATCCGGTTGGTGGAGGTCAATCCTGTACCACTACTGCTACTGAGATTATCCGCTGACTTCATTCCAAACGTTGTTAGTAAAGCGGTAAGGTGAAGGTCCCAGATTTTGTTTCTAGAATTATGTGCCTTTTCCGGCTAGCTTCGCCAGGTCCCATATTAGGTATCTATATACAAATCACAATAGGAGACCTTTCCGGTGTTGTAATATGAGAGCATCATGGCTTATAGCCAAAGGCATCATTTTACACAATTCATGCGACTCCAGTGGGTAAGCTCTCGGCACAAACCTGATAGGACTCTGCTAAACCCTCGCTGGATGTTCTCATCAGTATAAAATAGGCGTAATGAAACTTCCTATTTGGGGCGCGGATCTTCAATGATCTCGTCCAAACGCCGAGCATTACTTTCTCCAATAATCTGTCATTCATCAAATATCAACATCCTCTTTTCTCCCCTTACTTTTCCTTTCGGGTACATCATGAACCTCTGTTTATGAGGTTGTTCTCGATTTTACCTAGCAGTTTGTGAAAATTACGCTAGGTAGCCACGGGAGTGTATGACGCCTCTGACGCCTACATCTTTGTGCGCTATTTTATTTTATCGCTGGCCAATTGGCATTAAACTGTGTAAGTTTTAATTTCCGCTAGATCCTTTGGTTAAAATATGTTCTGGAGTTGTCGATGTTGCGCCCTTGGTCAACACTTCCATGTACTTCCATACGCCATGGGTCGTACCTTGTACAGAAAAATTGCGGGAGACTGCAAAATCGCTTTTCTCCATCTCTGGGCGTACCGTGTTCTATCAGATCTTGGATTTAACCAAGTTTGTTAGCCCACGGTACATAAGGACAAGCGACCGGTTCGGCGAATCATTTTCTTGGGATTCACACACCACGTGGTCATCTTCTGATCCACGTGGCAGGCGGTGTAGAGTGTCATTCATAAAAATGTTGGAATATGAAGCTGGCCAAAATTGGAAGTTGTGTCGCAAGTCCCACAGTTAAACCGACCCCGTTGACCAACGGCAACTTCGGGCTAGAGAGAGCCTGAAGGAGTTGGAGGTAGCTCTTCTCTGCTGGGCTGTACATTCACAGAGATTTATTGTATTTCAACCGATTTTCGCAAGCCAGTCAACAGACTAATCTTTTATGCGTCCTTTGGGAATGCCTTCTCCGCCATTGCCTCTCCAATGAGCAGATATTGAGTTACAGAGGGTCAGAATTTTGCCTTATGTCTCACACAAGCACTTTTATTCAAATATGGAGGGAGCGCTACGCCTTCAATGCTTGCAATTTGTGGATGTACTATCGCACGAGGAAATACCGATGACTGTGGTGCTCATATTCGAACACCGTCCCAAGTACATTTGCATATCGTTGTTGATTAGCTTCGCTCCTCTTCTTCTCTCTTTCTTCTTCTCTCTAGCTTAGTGTCTTCGTACGAATAGACTCTTAATCATCAAAGACTTTCCGGCTCACAGAGGCCCGGTATTTTTCCGAGTGCGATCCTCGCATTGCGCGATGCAAGTGGCGCTTCGGAGCCCACCGAAAACCCCGCCTGCATTTTAAGGGGTTGGGGGTAGATTGGGGGCCATTTGTAGGCCAAGATGTGTTATATCACAGCTAACATTGGGTGTTTAGGAGCAACTAACGTTAACACTACGTCAATAGGGAGTGTTTAACTTTGTCGCTACCACTTTGCGACCGCCGCCGGCTGACAATATTATAAGCAATGCCGAATGATTGAATATATACATGTAGTTATGGGTCATAACTTATAGCATCCGACCAACTTCTCAAATCTGACATCCGGACCGGACCATCTGTTCTTTGTCCCTGCATATCAGATCGCCAGATGAGCTTGGCATGTCAGATGTCAGATGAGGCTGATAATGATCTTACCTATCACTAAAATATGGGTTATGCATAAACCTATCGTTTCAGCATAGCTATGACATGGCTTGGACCCTGGCTTCGGAGATTACATCTCCGAGTCTAGGCGAACATGCCAAGATATCCACGGCATATAAATAACCCCCGAGATCAACGACTTCGGCCTGCAGCGTTGCAAGCAGCTATCACTAGCGACTTCTAGTCGCTTGGCTGCATCTCTATTCACAGTATAAAACTGCTGGAACCCCTCTCGGGCGACCGATCGGCTGATAATAAACCCCGACTTTATTCATGCGAGCCTTTTTTTATGCTTTAATGCGTTCTCCTGAGTAGATATGCTAACAATTCGGGCATACTCCCCGGGCCGTCCATAGCAATGTCTCACTATGTTCATCACATGTTAGACCATCACGATGGAGCTGATGATATACCAAATTGCAAAGCTGCAGGTCCATCTCTAAGCGAGCTGCAGGCGTTTTGTTCAATATACTAAATGCCTCTGCTCTTGGCTGATACGTAAAAGTGGACTTTCCTCGACGGAAGGTGCGGAGTGTTTTGACTCTCTTCCTTCACCCATTGCAGTTTGGAAATTCCAACCATCTTCGAGATGAAAGCCATTCTGTTGGTCTTGAGCCTTTTGGCCTTTGGCGCTCACGCTGAAACTTCAAAGGCTTCCACGGAGAGCTTCATCTCATCTATTTGGGATGACTTCAAACATGCTGTGGATTGCGGTTCCTGCCAAGTATGTTCATCCTGGCGCATGAACCATTAGACAAAAGGCTTACCTGAATTATCCTGCAGGCTCTCTTGGGTGGTCTCAAGCTTGTCTCCGGGTTTGGCGAGGGCTTTATGATCGATGTCTTCATCGGCCTATGCAATCTCAGTGGCGTATGTCAACATTCTGAGTGCGCCTCACCAAATCATATTGACCAAACTACAGGTCGAAGATCCGGATGTTTGCCGTGGAATTATCGAGAAAGAAGGTCCTGCGCTTCATGATGCTTTCCAGAATTTGCATATCGGGTCTCACGCCACCAGGACGATGTGCGCTAGTCTGATCGGACTCTGCCAGTATCCTGAGGTTCGTCCTCACACATTGCAGTTTCCTTCATCTAAGCCGGACACCACCAGACCACCGCCCAGCGGTGAGTCGCCAATCAAGGTTGTTCATTTCAGTGACACACACGTGGATCTCTTCTACGAAACTGGTGCCAGCTACGAATGCTCCAAGCCCATCTGCTGCAGGGTCTATGAAGATAAGGATGCCCCGGGGGTCACTAAAACCCCGTGTGGTCCATTTGGAAACACCAAATGCGATCCACCGCACATCCTTCAGGAGAGCATGAACGCAGCCATTGCAAAGATCGACCCAGATTTCTCTATCTACACCGGCGACGTGGTAGCCCACGATATCTGGCTAGTTGGCCAGGATGAAGCACTGCAAGTGTTCAATGACACATACGGCCAGATGGAAAAGGATCTTGGTATGGTGTACGCTGCCATAGGAAACCATGACACTGCACCGGTCAATCTCTTTCCCCCGAATGATATCCAGAGCAAATACAGCGCCCAATTTGCATATAATGCGCTCGCTGAAGACTGGTATGCCCTGACAGGCATTCCGTCCGTCAAGTCTGCAGATGAATTTGGGTCGTATTCAGCCATCCATCCAAACAGCAACTTGCGCATCATCTCTTACAACAGCATCTTCTACTACAATTTCAACTTCTACATGTACCAAGACCCAATGGAAAAAGATCCAAACGGACAATTCGAATGGCTCATCAAGGAACTACAAGCGGCCGAAGATGCGGGCCAGCGCGCGTGGCTAATCTCACACATCCCATCCGGCGTCACCGATCATTTCCGCGATTATTCACAATACTTCGACCAGATCGTGCAGCGGTACGAGGCAACAATCGCGGGTCTGTTCTACGGCCATACACACATGGATGAATTCCAAATTGCATACTCAGACTACAACAACCGCAAATGGGACACCGCAACTGCAATGGGATACATCGCCCCATCCATGACACCAACCTCAGGTCCTCCCTCATTCCGCGTCTACGAGATTGATCCCGTCACATACGGCGTGTTGGATTTCACTCAATACATCGCCAATATCAGCGATCCGTCCTACCAGACAAAACCAGAATGGGTCCCCTACTACTCCGCCAAAGCAGCCTACGGCTCAAAGCTCTCTCCTCCCCTGACAGACTCAACCGCAGAACTCACTCCTGCCTTCTGGCACAATGTCACCGTCACCATGGAGAAAGATCCCTCTATCTTCCAGGACTTCTGGGCGAGGCGTAATCGGGGATGGAACGTCGCCGCTTGTACCGGCGACTGCATGAAAAAGGAGCTCTGCACGCTTCGAGCTGCGGATGCACAGCATAACTGTCATGAGCCGAAGCCTGGTCTTAATATCAGTATCAATAAGCGTGATCAGGGGTCTGGAGATGTTCCGTTGGAGGGAGAGAGAGTGTCTGGTCCTGAGTGTGATCATGCCGGGATGGCGACGCTTTTGGGGAAGATTGCTTATCGTGCTCGGCTTGTGCGTGAGGCTGAGGAGAGGGATCCGGTCAGGGCCGAGGCTTGATCTTATGTGGCTTGCTTGTGTGTCGCTGGAATGCTATGGTGTTGCAACCAGGGTGTTCCAAAGTGCTCAATGTTACAAGAAAGCCATCTTATGATTGATAGATTTAATCAATGTGGTTAGTCCTAGTCCTAGTTTGACAAGATGATAGTGTTTCATGCCTCCGACTACTCTGTTTTGTGTACGATATCAACTAAACCGCGATCAAATCCGTTCTATAAGCCCAAACGTACAACTTTCCGAACTTCCAACCTATGATTGCCCCGTTCCAACCCAAGCCCGATCAATCTCCAGCTCAGCATCATACCCATAACACCACATCTGCGTTGCGGGATCACTCCACTGATTAGGACTATGATTAAACTGTAATCCCGTCGTCTCCAGCTTCATGGCAGCATCACGGGCTTTCTGAAGTGGTCCATCTGGGAAATGCCAGAGTTTTCCATTCAGAGAACTCGCCTCTTGCATCATTCCTGATCGCTGGATGCGAACTTTCTCGAATATACTCAGTGCTTTGGGGATCTCTGTTGCATTTTCGATTTTAGATAGGGAGCTTGCTAGGGCTACGCCGTCTTCCATTGCTATTGCTGCGCCTGTATATTGTCAATAGGTTCTTCGGATTTTATATTCAAGCTCTTCAGGAATGAAAGTTCTTACCTTGAGACATATACGGCAGCATGGCATGGGCTGCGTCTCCCAAGATGACGACCTTGCCACTGACCCACCGAGACAAAGGAGTCCCGCTGATCAGTGGCCATTTGATAGTCTTTTCAATCAGCCCGATGATCTTCTGCAGTCTGGGTCGAAAGTATCAGCAAACAGAAAAACAAGCGACAGTACATGGATGCATACCGCCCATCCCACCCTTGGAATTCACGTCTCATATCAGCCAGAGCAGTTGCCTGATCCCAAGTCGACGGGTCACTGTGATCCGGATGCGAGAGAACCATATTAAACGACTTGCCAGCTCCAATGATATATGTCATAACATGTCGCTGGTCACCGATCCTAACGAGAAAGTCAACGGAGTCCTCATAATTCAGACTCAACACAAACCAACCATAAATTAAGACCCGGTCGATCGAGCAACCAAGAAAGTTCCGGGTCATCTTTCATGAGCTCCACGTCGACGGTAGCACGATATGCTGCAAATCCAGTCTTCTCAAACGAAGGACGGCCACCCTCCTCAAGAATACCCCTCGCAACCGAGTTCACTCCTGCCAAAAGTCAGATCTTCATATCGCTCAAGTCCAAATACAGTATACAGTATACCATCAGCCGCAATAATCAAATCACCCCTTACATACTCCCAATTCTGAACACCAATCTCTCCTCTATATCGATCATACTCAGTAACCCGCGCACCAAACCTGACATGAACACCCAAATCCACCGCCCGTTGATAAAGCGCAGACCTCAAATCCGCCCGATGAATTACATAGTACGGCGCACCATACAAATCCCGAAAATTGGGGATCAACCGCGTAAACCCGATCACTTGGCCGGTCTGCCATCGTCTGATGGATATTGCTTCTGGTTCGATTACGTGTTCTTTAAGGTAAGGGTCTATGCCGAGTTTGCTTAGGAGCCTTGCTGAGTTGGGTGGGATTTGGATGCCTGCGCCGACCTGTGCAGTAACGGGGGTTAAGAATGTGTAGGTAGGTTGATAATAGTAGGTAAACTGTGAGGCTTACTTCTTCCAGCTCTTTTGTTTGCTCGTAGACGGTGACCGTATGGCCTGAAGTTGCGAGTGCGATTGCTGTTGCGAGTCCGCCCAGGCCGGCGCCTACGACTATGATGTTTAGGGGGACTTTCGTGGGTTGGGGGTCTTTTGCTGTGGTTAAGGGATTTAGGAAGGCGAGACAATTGCTGGGGTATGTTGGAGGCTGTTGAATTCTTGTTAATATCTGGGAATCTCAATATGTTTTGGAAGGGTGATTTACTTTCAAGAAAGCCTCAGCCACTATATGATTTTCGGATGCCATTTGTTTTAAACTGGTTCGAATGAGGACAATGTATGGTAACTCGCTATCTATAGGACCCCGCGAGCTGGGAATGCCCCATTGTCCCATTGCCCCGCATCTCGTGGATATGGGACGATCATTTAGTTGCAAAATACAATGTATCTATTTGGAGTTGGTTAATCGATGTGCTTGCCTATCATACCTTTGTGCAGTGTATGATATATTTATGAAGCTTCTGTGAAATATAGATTAGGAGAGCATCTTTTGTCGAGATCTCAGTGTCACATCGGCTGCTGAAAAGAGAGGCAACAAGCTGCAAAATATAACTTGCAAGGAATGGGCGGGAAAAGACTTACAGCTTACCAGTTGATAATGGACGCGACTCCTTAAAACGGATTCATTGACTTCATAAAATCGTCTGCTCGTCAAGCCACAAGAGAAACCCAGACAAGCGTGTAAAGCATCATAATCTATAGAACGTCTAACCCGCTTCCCAAGAAATCCTTCGTACACCGTGCACCATGGAACATAGTTACTGGTTATACGGCTGAGTCCCTCGAACAACATATATCTCCCCAATAAGAACAGCACAACCCACAGCCATAGAAACAGCAATAATGGGCAAATTTACACGCGCAAACTCCAAACTGCCAACCCGAATGTGTTTCCGCGACAAGATATCCCGCCACAGTAAGCCAGCCAACGAGGCACTAAAGGCAGTACTGAAAGCACCAAAGTTGACACCGAGGGCCATGCTATATACAGTCGCCCAGAATGTCTGGTCGCTGATAGGGATATTGTTTCTGTCGTGGATTGTTTGCCATGCTTGGATGACGCGCGAGAGGAGGATTGTAGTGCCGATGTTTGTTCCGGCAAACTAATCGGAGGGAAAGTGGTTAGTCAGTTCACAGGAAGAAAGTGAAAGAGAGACAAAGAGAGAGGTATAGTGGGAACCCACATTGCATAGAATCACAGATAAGAATCCCATCCCGCCAACAGCACCCACAGTTCCGGTCTTATTTACCCAATGGTCCCATCCATATGCAAAAACCGGTACCCAGCCCTTGGTGACTAATGCCTGCACAAGAACGAACATTGAGAACGCAAAAGGAACTAGTGGGAAGGGCATGTGGGATACTACAACAGTCACTGTCGGGAATGTCTCCTGGAGCCAGCGGTAGAGATCGGCACAGAGAGAAGTCAACGTGGGCGGTCCGTCTTGTTGATAAGGATATGCCCGCTTCTCCTCATCAGTCCTGTCAGTCGTTTGTCGCGAATCCAGTGGTTCTGGGGAAGATGCAAGAGCCAACCGCTTATTGTCTAACGAGGAAACACCAGGTGACTCTAGATCAGGGAACTTTTCTTTGTCGACCAGCACTGAGACTGACAACGGCGTCCCGGAATCCGGGTGGGAAGTCGAAGTCTTCGAGCCGATAGTTGCATCCGCAGCCCCCAGTGATATCTCATCATCTGTGCGTTCAGTGCTCTTGGGCAGGCCCGACAGATCCTGCTCAGATTGGTCCAGTCCGAGAATATCTGGAGATTGTGATTCCTCCCGTTCTCGCATTTCTCGCTCTGCTCGTGCATTCTCGACATCCCGTCGACCCTTTGCGGCAATCTCGCGTGTCTCGTGGCGATAGATCCAGCCAGAACTGACATCCCAGCAGAACATGACAAATGCAGCGGGCAATGTCACGTAAAAGACAGGTTTTTCATGTCCACTTTGGCTCGATGCGTTGATTGCAAGGAGTGTGATGAGTGCGGCGGCCATGATGACGGCACCAAAGGCAGCACCTTTCTTGTCCAAGAATGGGTTCATGATCTCTTCTAAGGAGAGTTTCTTTCCTTCTGGGTTGTTCATGTCCTCTTCTTCTTCGGCATTTCCTCGGGCGTGGGGGATATTTGGGTTGACGGGCGTTTTGCGTTTATCTTCCTCGGAGAGCTCGTGCATTTTGATCGAGAGCGGAATAAGGGACTCATCGGCGAAGATAATGTAGAGCAGGAATGGGAATATGACGATAGCTGTTACAACTGTTGGCACGATCATGTTTGCTGTGTAGACGATGAACTTGATCTGGAAGGCGCCGGCAAGCACGAGGTTGGTTGGGTTTGAAGAAACCAGAATTGCAGAGGCGATGTTTGCTATGGCGAATTGGCTATGGATCCAGGCTCTGGGGTGAACGATATTGCTTGATACGCGGGTCATGTAGGCGAGAAAGGCTGTTCCTGATAGAATGATAGGGTCGTTTCCGATGAAAGTGCCAAGCCCGAAGAAGAAGGCATACAGGTAGAAGAAGAGTCGGTGGCCAACCTTGCCTCCTCGTTCGAGAACTTTGAATGCTAGCCATCTGATTAGACCAGAGGCATCTATCGAGATTGCGATATATGCGAGTGTGAGGAAGAATGCCATGATGTCAATAGGCAAGATGTGGTTTGCGCCGAGCGTTCCATCGTGTACTTCTTTTCGACCAATAGCCCGGATAGCTAGAAGGAAGAGATCCGCTATCAATGGTGCCGTGATGAAATTCATCGGAAAACGAAACCTCACGAAGAAGCTTTCGTTCTCATTGGATCGAGGACGATGTCGGCGAGGTATTATGCGTATGGCGCTCAGCGAGTCCACAAATATGTTGGAAAGCCATCGCGGTAGGTATATCGGGATACGGAAGGGGAAAAGGACATTAATATCTGTAGAGCCACGAAACAGCGGTTAGTTTCCAATCCTACGGTGCAAAGCCGGTCACTTACTAGTTAGAACAAAAACGATTAGAGTAGTAATTGATCGCCAATTTTTGATTTTTGATGTATCGAGATCCTCGTCCATTTTGAGCTTTTGGTTCTCCTTTTGGGGCTGCTTGAAGGTCGCGTGGGCTTCAGCTTCGCATGTACCTAAGTACTAGCTGTTGTGGTCAAGCGCCGAGTCAGTTGCCGGAATGCAGGGACAACGGAAATTCGCATGTCAAGGTCCAGTTGTTTAGCCTATGGCAGACACATTTCTTTTCTGCAACTTCGCACGAAAAAATAGTGACGACAGGAGGTGCCTCTGGGCTTTTTGTCAAAATCCGGAGTAATGTTGTCACTTGATCTCTCTCCTTGCCGGGAAATCAAGAAATAGACAGGAATGTGGGGAACTGCGATAGGATGCCCCTCATAGTATCCTCGGCAGGTTAAGAATATTCTGCGACGTAAACCGGGCAAAACTGGGAGTGCAGCCTCTATTTGGAGCTTATGCCAGACTGGGGCTGTGGGCAACGAGTTCCGTGATCAAAGTGGAGTGATTGTTGGGCTGGTTTAAAGTTGTACTAGAAGGCGGGCGAAGCAACGTAGTTCCAGCAGTCCCCAGTGCTACAAAAGACTGGGATAGGGCCGGAGCAGAGATTTTTGGGCGCTGAGGCTCAGAGATGGCACGGACGTTAGGAGCAATCAGAGAGAGTGAACGGAGCACGAGATAGTGAGGACAGTGTGATTAGCGTAAAATTAGGCTTAGGCAAGACATGCTAAGAGACTAACTATGGGAGAATTTGCCCCGCACGTCTCCAGTCTTCACATCGACCCATGGTTGTCCAATATCAGTCCAAAACATTCAAATCATCTATATAATCTGTCTCTCGTTCTCTAGTTTCCTCCCTGACCTCCCATTTATCCCTTGCGGCTTTACCGCAACTCACAAATTACTCCGTGGGCACAGCCACTGGGCGCTATGCAAGCCCAAGCCCAACTTACCAATCAGGGGGAGGCTGGCATTGCCCCGTCTCGTATTGTGCGCCTAGCGTGCTGCGCTCGCCCGAATAACCATCACGGGGACATTGCCCGCTTCAATGGTTTAGCTTGCATCGATAGTTCTCCAATCCCAGGTAGACCGAGGTGGACAAAACCCGAGAATGAGGCTCTTGCTGACGAAACACCCTGCGAACCCGGGTGCGCGCCCTTCTGGAATTGTTAGTGATGGACGATTTGCTGCAGGAATAAGACATCTCGAGAGGATCTTTTCTATTCTCTTCCCTCTATCTCTTCGATACCACGCCACATGTCATATATGTCATACGTGACAGGCGAACACCTCTTTAATATATGCCTGTTCTGTTGCTCCATCCTAAAGTCGCCGTCGGAGGCGGATAACATGCAATGCCAGCGATTCCTGAATTTGCCTCCGGCTTAGCAAACGATATTGTGCATCGTGCTACCTTTGCATCCCCCCCTAATGTGACGGGAGTTGTTCCAGTCCTTGAGGTTGTCTGCGCCTGGCCGGTCTCTGGTCAGTATGGACCCGGCACCCGCGTTTTGTATGTTCTCCACCGTGGTATGTCAGTGTTTCACATTTACTGATACCGTTGTAGATACTATGTCTTGATTGCAGCTTGTGTGGTCGCTCGGAAAGTGGAATTCATTCGGAATGCCTGTCTGGCTGCTGTGCTACTTTTCCCCGCTGTGGCCGCTCTACATGGGATTGTTCTAGCAGTGTTGCACGTTGATGGTAAGTCTTCAGTACAGGAGAATAATCCACATATTTAAAATAGTAAAATCGTCTAACATTCTACAGGAGCCGTCGATATGGACGTCTACGGTGCTTTTCAACTGTGCGCAATAGGCATCCTAACTGCCCCAGCAACCGTCCGCCTATCCCAAACCTATTTCAACAACCCGGGCCGGGATCTGATCTTCTTATGGACAGTCCTTCTTCTCGCTGGGCTTCTAAGCCTGATAGTGGAATTTATGCGCCTCGAACCCACCGTCTGTCCAAATAACGACCAAGGAGGTATCGAGTGGGCAACAACGAATAAGTTTCCATACGGGGCAAGCTGCGGTATGAGATGCACTCCGGAAGATGGTCCAATTTCACATTTGCGTAAAGGCTCCGCCGACAATATATATGTGGTTCCAACACCTTTTCAATTGACTTTTAACACCACAACCCTTCTCGCCGCTGCGTGCTGTGTTCCAGCTATTTTGCAATTGGTTTCTATGTGGATTAAGATCATGGATGCTAACTGGGAGAAATTCTCTCGTGGGGAGAAGAAGAAGCCTGATGAGGCTATTGAGGGCACTAATGGGGCTACTCTCAACCATATGACAGGCATTACTGAGAAGATACGTAGCTGGCTGGCTCTTATTGAGATTCCAGTCTTTGCTGCAGCTGTCATGTTCATTCTTGTCAAGGGAGAGATGAACTTTTGGAGTGGGCCGGTGTATTATCAAACAGAGCGGATAGCGAGTATAGGTAAGCCATCTACCCTTGAGATGATGTGTTGAGATAGCTACTAACACTGTCCTTCCAGGCCAATGGGCTCCAATAGTCGGCACAGGCCTCGCCGTATTCGGATCCCTATACCTCCTCGTCTCAGCCGACATCGACGCAGAAGGAAGCAATAACAACAGCAACAACCAACAAGAATCTCAGCAACCCCGAATGGTAATAACAACAACATGCAGCAAATGTCAAGGCTGCGCCATATCCTCCGACACAGAGTCCAGCAATAACTCCCGGCGCGACTCAGGAACAAACACAGAAGGCCAAGCCACCGAGATCGAACTAGCAACACCAACACGAACGCCCACAGTCCAAACCCAAACAGACTTCGGCGGCCGACGAAGAGTCGCCCGCTTCTTCAACGCAGTCAGCAAAGCGATCACTACAAAAGCAGCCAAACAAACCGAAAAATCAGGCTTCAAACAAGAAGAACGAACAACATATCCCACAACGCCAGGCGAGAACTTCCGGAACCCAAAACTGGCCGAGGACATAAGTATCTACAACCATTCCCCGACGCCCATCGACGGGCGCTCCAGAGCAGGCAGTTTCATGAGTATAAGCCGGGACTCGGATAATGGCGAAGGGAGTTCGAAGATGGCGCGAAATCGCAGTCGCAGTCCAGCGCCAGCTCCAGTTCGTCATTCATCCTTGCCTGCTCATGTCCGACCCCCACCACGCTCGGTGACTCGTCCGTCGCATTCGAATTCCGAGCCTGAGGGGGGTTTGTTTGGGTCTTCTTTGTTGGGGTGTCCTCCGTCGCCTCGTTCGGCGATTAGTGAGTGGATGAACTTGAGTCCTGTTTCTGGTCAGACGCCTGAGGGGAGGAGTAGGACTACTTCTGTTTCGGATGTTAGTCCCACTACTACTGCTCCTCCTACGATGTCTGGGGTGCAGACCGTTCCGACGATACATGTGTCTAGTCATGAGGCTTCTTGAAGGTTTAGTTTGGGATTTGGTTTGGGGTCTTATATGGTGGGTTTATGGGTTAACGTCACTGCTACGCCGCTTTATGACTTGATGACTTGGGTTTTGGATTGGGTAGATGGTTCAGTGTATTATCGGTATGTATATATAGAATGTTCTATAGATAATACTGCATTCCATGAAGAAAGTACTCATCCTTGACCAATGGGCCGGCTGGTACTATTTAGACATCGAGGAACACTGGCATCCACCTTAGGTAGACTGTCTTGAATGCTAGCTAACATTATATTTGGGCATACACAAAGGTCTTTGAATATAGGACAGAGGACCCACCATAAACTGTACAGTAGATGTCTGCCTACATCAGTCCCCGGTATAAAAAGCAAGCCAGCCCCACTAGACCCATCTATACATAGCAAACAAAAGCACGAGTCGTAGTACTCCGTAGCAGCAACAAATCCCGAAATTGCGCCTTGAAGATCCCTGCCAAGAGCGAGGCGCAGACACGACTGTCTCAGACGCATGGACCAATATTGGAATATCTTTCACTAGTCCGGCGTCCTACCTCGGCGCAGTTCTTTGTCTGGGTGAGACTAGAGTCTCAAATATGGAAAGGGGGGATACAGAACTACAGCATAGGAATGATACTCGAAAGACTACGCCAATTGCAACGAACAAGTGAAAGACAACGAATTTCATTCAAAAATCTCGTATTCGTCTTGCATACGCCGATCCATTCTCCTTTTCTTTGAAAATTTTCGTAGCACGAGCATGGTCATCATAGTCATCATTGCTCTCCGGCGCAATGCATAGAATGAGATCTCATCAAGAGATCAATCATTCCATGTTTTGCCAGCATGCGCGATGGTAAGCTTTTGTCTTTTTTTATGGTCGAATGGGTGGTCCATCAGTGGTATTGAACAAGAGAGGTCCGAAGATACTCCAAAGGGAAGAAATTCTATCAACATGAAGGTGAAGAAGGCAAATGTAAATGGTGAAGGCGGCCCGCTAGGGGCACGCGGGCAAAAAATGTGTGAAAGTGAGTGGAAGAAGTGTAAGAATAGGGCCCAGTTCTCCAAGAGAGTGTTCGGAGGCTGGGAAAGAAATGTAAAAAAGTCAAGTGAGAACCATAAAATCAAAGTGGAAGAAAAGAGTCGTCAAGACCGTTTTCGCTTGCTCCATCTACCAGAGATGTACCCATTGCTCGTAGCCTATCAATGGCAACGCACGATCGACGCGGCGCTTAGTTGATGTACCACTTGACGCCGGTGACACGGCCAGCGCCCATGGAGGCAAGCTGGCCGAAGAGGTGGCGGGACAGATCGATGGAACCGTTATCGCAGCCCATGCACTTGTCGACGACGGTACCGGTGGCGGTGACGCCGTTGTATTCGATGGTGACGGACTTGCCGCAGTCACCGTCCTTCATGATGCCGACGGGCAGGGCCAGGACGTTCTCAGTGGTGCCGTCGTTGGTGGTGCCGCAGGAGCTGGGGTTGGTGGAGGTGGTGGCGGTGTCGTAGTAGGTAATGTCACCATCGCAAGGGGAGCCGGAGGAGCAGGCGCCGGTGTAGCCGCTGCTGGCGGTGGTCTCGACATTGGCAGAGCGGGTGGTAGCGGCGACAGCGCTGGAGGTGGTGGAGGAAGTGGTAGGCTCCGGAGCAGGGGCAGGGGCGGCAGTGGTGGTCTCAGCCTCCTCGGTGGTGGCAGGGGCAGGGGCAGGAGCAGGAGCTGCGGTGGTGGTCTCAGCCTGCTCAGTGGGAGCGGGAGCGGGGGCGGGAGCAACAATCGGGGTGGTGGTAGGCTCAACCTTCTTCTCCTCAACAGCAGCCTGGCTGGTAGGGACCGCAGCAGCGTTCACGGGAACGATGGTGGCAGTGGAGGTAGGAGCCTGGTTGGGGTAGAGAGTAGTGGTGACATCGACGGTGGTCCAGACGACGTCAGTAACGGTCTCCCAAACGACAGCGCGCTTGGCAACAGGAGCGGCGTAGCCGGTCAGAGCAAAGAAAGCGCCAGCGAGGGCGAGAGTCTTGGTGATAGGGGCCATTGTGAAGGTTTGAATCTCAAAGGAGTGGATTTAAACGATTGATCACTGCACAGCAGTATGTTCGACAAACTCAAAAGGAGTGTGAGTATTGAAGAAAAGGAAGGAATGGACCGTTGAGGCGTGTGGAGGAGAAGAAAGAAAGAAGGGGAGAAAGTGGAAGTTATATATGGGATCGGGCCTAAGTCCAGGACCCACTTCAGCCAGGAGCCCTTCATCTTCCCTTCCATCTTCCACCTTCCGTCTTCCCGTTTACACAACTACACATCTTCGCATGCAAGTTCCTGGTATACCATCAATACCCGATCCCGGATTCCCCGGGGCCTGATTGAAACCTGTACAACAATGCCAGTTGTTCCTGGCGCTAAGATCGCTCGAGCCTATGTGCGGTGACCCACAGTCGCCTCCGTACCTGGCAGCCCCATCAAGCCATGCTGACGGGATAAAACTCTGAGGGATACCACATCCGCCTACAGTACACTGATAATACCTGGTTCCTACTCTCCAGCTCGATCCCTATATCTGCGGCTTCCAACATCCAGTCACCTTGCAAATGACGTGTATTCTCGTCTCGTACCCTCGCAACCTCGCAACCCGCAGGGGGACTGGTTAGAATCTGTAGTCTTGTCTGACAATGTGATTGGTGTGTGCCTGTACCTGTAAGACAAACAGTCCAAGCCAATCCGGTGGACGACGCCCGCATGGCGGGTTTAGCCCTCGCTCCACCTAACGGTCTGGACTTCTTTGAGCCATTTTTAGTGGGAAATAGTGCCGATCTGTCAAATCAATTTGTCGAGAGAAATCATAATTAGACTGTATGGCAATGAACCTCTTGAGTCAATCGCTTTCATACAAATTCCCCCTACAAACACCCTACAAACACCCTACAAACACCCTACAAACACCCTACAAACACCCTACAAACACCCTACAAACACCCTCCTCAGCTATATTCCAACCCTTCATAGCCCTGCCCAACGCAGGGCACACACAGTAATACCCGTACCGTCCCACTTCACATGTACATACGTAACTCCAACCACATCCAGCACTAATCCAAATCCCAACCCCGATTTGAAAGTACAAACGACCTTCCAAACCATTCCAGAAAGCAATCCACGCAAGTACCATCTACATCTAAACCCCCCACCCACCCACCCACCACCACCACCTAGCAAATACAACATCATCTACTATATGGAAGCCATATTCTAGACCCGTCCAGCCGAGAGGGAAAGCCCCTGTCGCACCAATAGGGCCCGAGACATGGTAGAGACACGTCAGGAATCTGGTTAGGATCCATATCTGCTGCTTCTGTCCAGTCTTTTTTTCTCCACTCACTGCCGATCAGCCAGTCCGTGGGATGGGGTGGGGGGTGAGGGGATTGCATATGATTTGGAGATGTAGGTAATTTTGGACTATGCTGCGTATGTTCTATATTAGCATAATCCTAATATGTAGGTTGTATTTGTAGCGAGTTTGTCTTGGAATACCGGCTTGGTGCGTTATCCGAATACATGACGTAAATGTACTTACGTTGGTAGATGTAGGATGTAAGGATGTGGCTTCGGCGCCAAGGTACAATGTACAGTAGAACATGAGATATGTATACTGTACTCCTCCCGAGGACATCCGACACCAGAGCAAAAATCTATAGGATGTAAGGTACAGACAGCGAAAATGAAAGAAAAGAAGATTTCTGCAAACCAGTCATTTCCTTCTCTCATACTCATAACAAGGAAGAAAACCCAAAACGGAACCCCCGAGGCTTTCGAACATAAGAAAATGTAACATAAAAAGATAACTCCTGGTCCTCGTGGCAAAAGCAAAACGTAGAGACTAAAAAAAGAGGAACTACGAACTCTGTGGCTTGGATACGATACCCATCGAACCAAAACTCGAACGAACAGGGGTTTGGGAGGTATTTCATTAAATGAGTTTGCTTTTACCGGGGGATAAAAGATTGGATGGACCAGATTCTATTTTGTGGTTTCTTTTGGCATTTTGCCTTTGAATTCTTGGTTCTTGTCATCGCCGGATGGGGAAATGCCGTTTTTTGCCTGGTTGCGCTTTGTTAGGTAGCCGGGGGATTTCGGTTTCAGGTTGGGGCTTGGGGTTGAGTTGTGCGGTGTGAGGATGGTTAATAAAAGGTCTGGTATGGTCAGTGTGATCGTTGGATGTTTAGAGGACGGATTATGTCTGTAGAGTTAGGAAATGCACGCAGATTGGGGACACTATATTTGGGTACTACTCGGAGTTGGTTACTGCAAACTATGTAGGGGAGAATATAGTGATAACATAACACGTTGTTGAACTGATACTAAAAAAGTACAAAAAAATCTTGAATCCGCGCCAAACACACAAAGGGAAAAAGGTCCATCAATCTCATAATATAGGTACACGTGAGAAGCCAGCAGAAAGCATGGCTATGCGAGAAACGCCAACATCCAAAAGTATTCTAATAGAGAACAGGTTCAAGTTTAACCCTGGCACATGAGGCAAGCCTCCTTGTTCTCAATGCTGCACTGGAGAACAGCGTCAGAGAAGATATCACCCTCACGGGCTTCGCTCTCACCGGCGGCATCCTCAGGCTGAGCTTCGGCGCTGTTGGCCTCAGCGGCTGGGAGGTTAGGCTCGCGAGAGGCAGCAGCTATAGGGTCGGTGACCAGAGTACGGGGACTCTCCTCGGGGGCAGTGCTGACGTTGGCAGTGGCGGGCTGGGTGCCGTTGGAACGGGGGACAGCGGAGTAGGCGGCGGTAGCGGTGCCGGCGGTGCGCTTCTTGGAGCGGGCGACGTTGGTGTCCTCGACCTTGAGCTGCTCCTGGTCGACGGTGAACTGGATAGGAGCAGAGGCGGCCATGGTGCGCAGGTAGTACATGCCGGTCTTCAGACCCATCTTCCAGCCGGCGAAGTGCATGGAGGTGATCTTGCCCATGGTGGGCTCCTTCAGGTGGATGTTCAGGGACTGGGACTGGTCGATGTAGGCACCGCGGTCGGCGGCCATCTGCAGGATGTTACGCTGGGAGATTTCCCAGACGGTCTTGTAGAGGGCCTTGATGTCGGCGGGGATGTTGGGGATGTTCTGGACGGAGCCGCCATCGGCGATAATACGGTTCTTCATGTTGTCGGACCACAAGCCGAGGTCGACCAGGTCCTTCAGGAGCCAGGGGTTGACGACCTGGAACTCACCGGCCAGGACACGGCGGGAGTAGATGTTCGAGGTGTAGGGCTCGAAGCACTCGTTGAAGCCGAGGATCTGACTGGTAGAGGCAGTGGGCATGGGAGCGACCAGCAGACTGTTGCGGACACCAGTCTCGGCGATCTTGGCCTTCAGAGAAGCCCAGTCCCAGAGGTCAGTGGGAGTACGGTCCCACATGTCGTACTGCAGGATGCCCTGCGAGACGGGGGAGCCGGGGTAGGTCTCGTAGGTACCGAGCTGCTTGGCCAGGTCGGAGGAGGCAGTCAGGGCACCGTGGTAGATAGTCTCGAAGATCTGGATGTTCAGCTGTCTAGCCTCGGGGGAGTCGAAGGGCAGACGCAGAGCCAGGAAAGCATCAGCAAGACCGTTGACACCGAGAGCAATGGGACGGTGACGGAAGTTGCTCTTCTTGGCCTCGGGGACGGGGTAGTAGTTGATGTCAATGATCTTGTTCAAGTTGCGAACGAGAACTTGAACAACCTCATGAAGTTTGCCGAAGTCGTACTCGCCACGGGCAGCATCAACGAAAGTAGGAAGGGCAAGAGAAGCCAAGTTGCAAACAGCGACCTCATCAGGAGCACTGTACTCGATGATCTCAGTGCACAGGTTGGAGCTGCGAATAGTTCCCAGGTTCTTCTGGTTGCTCTTCTTGTTGCAAGCATCCTTGTACAGCATGAAGGGGTTACCGGTCTCAGTCTGGGCCTCAAGAATGGCATACCAGAGCTTCTGAGCCTTAATGGTCTTGCGGCCACGGCCCTCCTTCTCGTACTTCTCGTAGAGAGCCTCGAACTCATCACCGTAGACATCAGCGAGACCAGAGGCCTCGTTGGGGCAGAAGAGAGTCCAGTCACCGTTAGCCTCAACACGCTTCATGAACAGATCAGGAGTCCAGAGAGCGTAGAAGAGATCCCGGGCACGAACTTCTTCCTTACCGTGGTTCTTGCGGAGATCGAGGAACTCGAAGACATCTGCGTGCCAGGGCTCCAGATAGATGGCAAACGCACCGGGGCGCTTGTTACCACCCTGGTCAACGTAGCGGGCAGTGTTATTGAACACACGGAGCATAGGAACAATACCATTGGAGGAGCCGTTGGTTCCACCAATGTAGGAACCGGTGGCACGGATGCGGTGAACATTCAAACCAATACCACCAGCGGTCTTGGAGATCATAGCACAGGTCTTAAGAGTGTCGTAGATACCCTCAATGCTGTCTGCAGACATGTCGACCAGGAAGCAAGAAGCAAGCTGGGGCTGGGGAGTGGCGGCGTTGAAGAGAGTGGGGGAGGCGTGGGTGAAGTACTTTTGGGACATCAAGTGGTAGGTCTCAATAGCCTTCTCGATGTCCTCGCCGTGGATACCGACAGCAACACGCATCAGCAGGTGCTGGGGACGCTCGGCAACACTGCCGTTGATACGGAGAAGATATGAACGCTCCAGGGTCTTGAAACCGAAGAAGTTGTAGTTGAAGTCGCGGTCGTAGACAATGGCCGAGTTAAGCTCCTCGGCGTGCTTCATAACAATCTCATAGTGCTGTTGAGAGATCATAGGAGCAGGCTTATTGTTTTTGGGATTAACATAGTGGTAGAGGTCGGAGATGACCATGGAGAATTGCTTTTTTGTCTGCTTGTGGAGGTTGGAAACGGCAATACGGGCAGCCAGGATGGCGTAGTCCGGGTGTGTGACGGTCATGTAGGCGGCAGTCTCGGCAGCCTGGAGTTGCAATTAGCAGGATGTTTAAAAAAGAGACGGTGGCCAAACGTACCAAGTTATCCAGCTCGACGGTGCCGACACCCTGGTAAACACCAGAGATAACCTTCTGGGTGATAGCGGCCGCATCGACGTGCTCGGGGTCGAGGCCGTAACAAAGCCTCGAGACACGGGCAGTGATCTTGTCGAACTGCACGCGTTCCTTGCGGCCATCTGTGGGTTCAAGGCGCGTTAAAACTCGATCAGACACTTGTGGCAAAAGGGATCACTGCCACGAGATGCAGAGCTCGAAGCCCGCCATCGCTGCAAATCTCCCCGCCAAGTATCAGACTCGTGAACTCACCTCTCTTGTAGACGAACATCTTGGTGGAGTTGAGGTAGTAGGGGGCTGGAAAGAGGATAAAAAAAGGTAGAACGGGGGTATCAAGATTAAGGGTAAGGGTATTCAGGGCTGTAGGAAGAAGAGGTGAATGTTAAGCCCGTAGAGGGGTGTGAGAAGAAGAAGAGACCAGAGGGGCAGAGGATTCTTTGGTTGCCGAGTGGACGCGTTGCCCAGGACCTTCGCGTCCGCGTTTTTTCAGCTTACCAACCTGTGCTTTGGGTCCACTATTTCCTTACAAAGCTCCATTCTGCCACGCAGAATGGCTCTAATCTTACCACATTTGGTTAGTATGTGTGTGCCATCTCTGCTAGCGTGATTCATCTAGGATGGACAAAGAAGGCGGTGTGATTATTCAAAGGGCGGTGAGACACAGTCTTCCCCATATTGCACGCGAAACAGTCACGTGAACACGCGCCGTCCGCATGCCAACGGAGTTGATGTCGCCGGACGGCTTGAAGCATTCCGAGCTCAGTTGATTTCGAATGCCATTGCTCGTTTGGCTTCAGATTCAAGTCTCTATCTCCTGGTCAATATCGTGGTGGCCTATTCTCAACCCTTACTGCAGATGTGATGGATCTACAATGCTTCTGACAAGGGGCCAAGGAGTACCCTTGAATAACAAAGTTCTGTTCGCCATTTTGTCGGTCTGTTGGATCTTTTCTATGGCCCACTTGTTGATCTTTTCTTATCTTAGCTCGATCATAGGCCATGCTTTTGCCTCACAGAAGTAGATCGCGGGGGAGTCCTATAATGCAAAGCATTAGCTTTCGAAGAGTGCTTCCGGTTCCAATCAGACAAAGTGTAGAGTACAGAAAGAAACTATACACTATTGATGCAAGGTCGGCCTCAAAATCAGGCGTCTATAGCAAACTACTGTAATGGAGAACTGGTCGATTTGGAGTCTCTAAGTGGGTGATGTGAACGTTGTCCAAACTCATAAAACTAACATGGAGAATTCATCCACGTGTGGCAGAGCTGGTTGTTATTCTCCTAGGCACTGGCAGGACTCAAGCAGGACAGTCATCAATCTACTACATCTGGACAATTCTGCCATACTATTCCATGGCGAGTGAGAAGAAAGAACACTGTCAAATCCGAAATAATTGTCAGGAGTTGATATTGGTATTGAAGCAAGCAAGGCATATTAGAGTGCCCAAACCACATTCCCGAACAATAATGAATCAAAGCAGATCAAAGGCAACACATCAAGGCTATTATCTATGTTCACATCGATATTCGCATTGCAGTGCCAACAACTGACATGGCATGCTCACAGCAGAGCAGCAGCGCCAAGGAAGATCGCAGCGGCAAAGGTAGTCGCAGAGAACTGGCGGTCAGACGAAGCAGCATTGAAGGTCGAAGTAGGGCTGGAGGCGCTACCAGACCCAGAGCTGGAAGAGCCAGTACCAGTAGCAGCGGCGGAGGAACCAGTGCCGGAGCCCGAGCCAGAGCCGGTGGCAGCAGCGCCGCTGGAAGAAGCAGCAGTGACGAAGCCGGAGGCGGAGGCGGAAGCACTACCGGAGGTAGCGGTGGAGGAAGGAGAGGTCTCAACTGCGGAGAGGAGAAGCGATCAGTAGATGTAATGGATGATATGATGTAACACGCTCGGGTATGTTTTCTTGTAAATCCTTACCAACTTTGTGGCCGAGCTGGGCGCAGTTGCTGACGAAGAACTTCAGGGCTACATCACTGTCGGCACACTTGTCGGCGATGTCGGACTGGATGCTGGCGGCATCCTTGCCGCAGATGGCCTTGCTGTCGGCTGGGTTATCCTGATGACTGGAATTTGATCAGTTAGGAGTTCCGCGCCAAGCCATTGACATTCCTTCCATTCCTTCTGTGGACATACCCGATAATCTTGAGGACACAGGCTGGGGTCTGCGGGGTGGTGGTGCCAGCGGCCACGACGTTCGCCAGGGCCATGACGGCCACGGCGAAGATGGACTTGTTGAAGATCATGATGGAGATTGAGGGATGAAAGAGTGTAAGGTCAAGATCGCACAGCGAGTCTGAAAAGAGGGTAAAGAGTGTGGAGCTAAAGAGCGACTGGTAGAGAAAATGAAGGACAAAGAGTGACGATGTCGAAGGATAAGCTCGCAAGGAAACGGGGGAAATCAGTTTGCATCGCAGCCATGGTCCGGTGGAACAGGGTCTGTAATATTACACTCAGGTCCCTTGCTGTAGGGTATCTTCTGTGGGCAGTCCCATATTATGGATACCTTATAATACATGTATTAGTAGTACAAGCTGTAATTGTGTTCCTCCAGGCTTGTTACACTTTATCCAAAGCGGTTTAGCGTCAGGGACTCCCCATATGTTCTGTACTCTACACACTCCATATGTACTTCAGGTGCTACTTGCTTCGTACTCAATGGCTTATTTTAATGTTGAGGAAATAAGTTTGTGTGATTATTGTAGGAAAAGTCTAAAAGTCTCATTGTACTTCATATTAAGATTCATGCTCTATTTATAACTGAAATTGATTTTTTTCGAACCCTACCGTAGTGACACAAGTCATCGAAATAAGATTGTTACTCTCATCCTATGGTACTTGTAGCCTCACATAAACAGCCCTGGAATACGAGTCCATATCAGCACATACATCGTCTTACGGTTGAGGAAGTAACCTGGGGTCTAATATCAAAAGAGCAATGACATATCAATCGACATACAACAAAGGTCGTCAGCTTGACACCCCTCCCTGCCTTTATATGATCTAGATGGCTAACCCCGGGGGGCACTCGAAAATGGGCAAAAAAAGTGCAAAATGGCTTACTTAGGGCGAAAACAATGCATAAAACGTTACACTCGCTTCGAGGCTTTCGTTTAGAAACTGTCCATACTCTATGACACTGTGTACCCATTTATGACCCCTGTTGTATCAACATCTAAGGAGACTAACACCATCTATACATCCAATCCCACAGACACATCAATCTCGCCGTCATAATCCCTCCCAACTGGGATCAAAAGTACTAACAACAACCTCCTGAACAGGCAACCTCCCATCAACAATCTCCCGCCCATTAACCAAATCATTCTCCCTAGCCCTCCGGTCCGCCTCAACCTCATCCCTCGCAATTCCCGCCAGAATATGCCTCTTTATTAACCTCTTCCTAGCAACCTCAAAATCAACCTCAACAAACCAAAGCTCATCCATAAGGCCCGCCGCAGTATTCCACGGACTGACATCCAAACTCAAGTAATTCCCCTCAAAAAACAACACCCGACTCGTCGCCGGTATCGCAATATCATCATCAACGGGATCCTTAACCGCATGGTCGAAACTGGGCGCATGCAAATCCGCCGTTGTGCTCGTGACCGGCTCCCGCAGTGCCCGCACCAGTGATAGGAATTTGTCACCGTCGAATGTGAAGGCTGCGCCGCGCCGCGCCGCGGCATATGTTGGGTCTGGCATTGCTGCTAGCTGCGCGCGTGTTAGGTGGTAGCCGTCCATTGGAATTGCGCTGGCGATCGGGGGTGCGGTGGGGTTTTCGGAGGCGTGGATTTTGTTGATTCGGGCAGCCATTGTGATTGCCAGGCCTGTTTTGCCGGATCCTGGGATCCCGCTTATCGCGATCATTAGGCGTGCGTCGTCTGGTGTTGAGCAGAATTTTGCTGGCGGGTTTGTTAGCTTGGGGTTTGTGGATGGGTGTTGGGGTGCGCGGTGCTTTGGGGGTAGAGGAGGGTTTGGAGGTGGTCTTTTGGATTGCTGAGGCTGGGAGGAGGTGTCTTGTATGCTTCTTGTTCTTCTTTTCCATGGGTTATGTTGGTGGTTTGCTTACCCCAGGCCTTGTTGACCAAGTGGTCTACCTGATGATCCATGTTGTTGACTTTGGTATGTAGATGGAGAGGTTGACTCGGGACCGCGTGTATATGTGACAGTGAAGGCTAGTACCTTCGGCGAGAGAGGATTGTGCTGGTCACTGGAATTGATCCGAGGTGTCTTGGTGGTTGCGCGGGATGTGATACAGGTGATTTGGTATTGCAGAGTGCTGCGGTTGCAATTGCTGTGCAGTATATGTGACAGTAGGTGCTAATTATGGCTGTTGTCGGATCGTCAGAGGTGTTGGAGTATGCCAGCTGCACAGCTTGTTCAATTCCCAGATATCGTGGCGGGGTCTCCAGGACTGAGTGGGGACGGCTGTACTCCGGAGATACGTCACCGCACATTGTCTTCCCTTTTCACCTACACATCGCTCCTAGGAATCAAGGTACTAACGTTACATCCAGAATATAGAATAGCTTTGCGACTCCAAAGTACATCTAAAGACGCGTCAACATGTGAAGGTCACGTTCAGGCTTGCCGGATACAGCACGGGATGTGACTGATCGGCTTATAACCTTCCCAATTCACCCATTGCCATTGGACAGAAAACACTAGACTCTGAACCCCTGGAGTCCCCGAATATCTTTACATCGTAGTCATATTTATTGAGTGACATGTGCAGAGAGTATCGTATTCCCAACATAATGTTGGGTAGTTCATTTTGTTCGAAACGATTATGAAAAATACATCATAAGCATATCAATACAAGAAATTGAAATCGCTGAAGATGACAGCGCCCTTGCCAGATCCATGGCAAAGGCCGAGCTTGGTACTGCAGCCAGTGCAGCATAACCGAAAGACAGAAGAATCAAACAACTTTCGACTCCAGTAGTGAGTCCCCTTATGATTCATAACAACGCCCCGTGGTCCAGTCCAACAAAATTAAGAAATATCCGTTGTAATTCGGTCCCTGTGAAAGAAAACGCCATCGCCAGTATCAAATGCCATGTCATGTAATGCGAAAAGTGGTCCTCAAAGGTCACCGCGGTTAGGCTGAGAAGCGCCTTCGTTGTCCGTCGAGTCCATGCTCGCGCTGAGACCTCGGTCGAGCGTTCGTGCCAGACCCGCGGCCGCCCACCAGTCGTCCGGAATGTCTTCACGGCGGGCAAGTCGATCCAGGATGGCCTGCATCTGCTGGAGATCGTCATTATTGTGGTCGGTGATGGAAAGTGAAATAGTAGGAACGGGAGGGTGCCTGCTCAGGGTCGAGCGGATATCTGGGAAACGTTGGAGCGAGAGGGGCATGGTGCTGGGCTGACCAATGAACCGGCGGTAATTTACAGGTGTATCCTCGTCGTCCGAAGAAGAAAAGTCACAAGGGTTGAGATGGTCAGGGTAAGGGTCGAGCGCGGTGTTGCGGGTAGTGCTCAAGGAAGATGGTAGAGTCGAGTTGGTAGAGGCGCGAGTAGTTCCATTGCGAGTAGCATCAGGCGCAGAAGCGGAACTCGAGGCGAATGAGGTGTCATTGGAAGGTAGCGTGGCATCGGGCGTGATGGTCGACAACAAAGTTTCCCACGCGATAGTATCGCGATCTCCGTCAGGACTCGGGCTGCGTTGGCGATCCCCAAGCCCATCCATCACGGTCTCCCGGTTCAGTCGAGTTGGCTGGGCCGCGTTTCGATTGATGCGAATGAGGCTTGACGGCATGAAGAAGGAAGGCTCATCACTGGGGCTGTCTGTGCGACGCAGGGGCGGAAGTCGCATGTCGTCCGAGGAGGGAGTTGAGGAGCCGCGGGTATGGTACGCGGCAGCTGGAGCAAAGTTCGGGGTGAACGATGGGCTACCGTTGCGGAAGCTCTGAGGGTGAAAGCCTGGGCGACCAAGCAGGTCGGTCAAGGCTTGATTTTCACGCAGGGAGTAGGATTGATCGGACCGCTGACGGTGATTCCGGCGCGAGGAAGGACCCCTGCTGAAAGCCTCGCGTTGAGCTTGCGCCAATGTCATTCCATCCTCACTCATCCCGTTGTTCTGCACAGGAGATCGCCGGGGGAGATCACTACCGCGTCGGAGCTCATCGATAACCTGCGACTGAAACGAAGCCAAAACATTCCGGCGCGCACGAGAGATACCGTGGCGCGACGAGCCCCGACGGCCGATGGTCGAACGCGCAGCAGCAGTGCGGTCCTTCTCGATAGCAGACTTATGTATATCGGCCTTGGAAGGCTCACGCCACATCCTACGTTGAAGTCAGTCGCGTGCGACAATGTCGCGCGAAGTGAGCTGTATGACTTACGGGATACCCATTCCGTAAAGAAGTCAGAGTGAAAACGAGTGAAAAAGAACGATGCGAAACGCGACTTGTAGATAACAGTGGGGATGGGATGGAGAACGGATGAGATTGGGGATTTTTTGCCAGCCTCAGGCCGGAAGTGGCTGGGAGGTCACGTGTACCTCCACGGTCATCTCCGGACAAGCAGCAAGTCCCCGCTACTATGCTTGTTCAGCTTAGGCTTCCTACGATACCCACGATGAAGCCCTGAAGCTACGTTTACTACTTACTGCACCCATATAATGACGACTGACCTCAAACCACTCACCACGATACGATACCACCGGGATGATTGAACTAGGATTGAGTAGGGTCGCGAGTCTGCTTCAGCAGACTCCGCTTACATGGAAGGCCATTCACATTGCTGGGACCAACGGCAAGGGCTCTATCAGTGCCTACTTGTCCCATCTGCTGTCTACTGGAGGAGTTCGTTGCGGACGCTTCACTTCCCCGCATTTGATCGATCGGTGGGACTGCATCACCATCGGCGAGAAGGTGGTCCAGGAATCCCTCTTTCGACAGATAGAAGATCAGGTCAAACTACGAGACCAGGCATTAGGCATCGGCGCCTCCGAATTCGAGCTTTTGACCGCAACTGCCTTCGAGATATTCAACCATGAGCGAGTCGAGGTCGGAGTCGTCGAAGTGGGCATGGGAGGTCGCCTAGATGCCACAAATGTTCTGACTGATGTCCTTGTGTCCGTCATTACAAAAATTGGGATGGATCATCAAGCATTCCTGGGGTCTACGATTGAGGAGATTGCCCGTGAAAAGGCAGGCATTCTGAAACCCAGCGTACCATGCGTGATAGACAACACAAACACGCGGGAAGTAATCGAGACGGTGAAAGATCGTATTCAAGAACTCGGTATTGAATCATCGTTCGTCTCTCCAGCGCAAGTCTATGAACAACTTCCGCCACTTGCGTCTTTGTTTAAGAAGCTCGACTTGGAGCCACATCAACAAGAAAATATGTGCTGCGCAGTCTCCGCTCTGCGCCTCGCCTTGTCCCAACTCCGACCTGAATCAGATGTTTTCTCGTTGCTTCCATACCTCGCCGACGTGACTTGGCCAGGCCGACTGCAAAAGATCGCCCTCCGACCCTTGGTTGACCGCGCAGAGCCTATTTTACTCGACGGTGCTCATAATGCACAGTCTGCCGAAGTTCTTGGCAAATACGTGGATCGCAGGATGCGTTCCAATGGAAAGCCAGTCACTTGGGTTGTTGCCGCATCAAGTGGTAAAGACTTGGCTGGAGTATTCGGCTCCATTATCCGCCCCGGGGATCGTGTTGCAACGGCCGAGTTTGGTCCTGTGGATGGAATGCCATGGGTGACTTCAACCAATGCCCAAGAACTCGCTTCTTCAATTCAAGCTATCCACGATATTGGCCACGTCCAGAGCTTCGAGGGTGATCTACTCCCTGCTCTCAAATGGGCCAGTCAAGAGGCCCAGGGCGAGTCTCTTGTCATTGCTGGTAGCTTATACCTTGTCTCCGATGTGTTGCGTCTTCTTCGAGAGGCACAGAAATGATACCCTGTATAAATCGCTTGATAGATCGCGTTGAACTTTAGCATGGTTGGTCCACGTTGATTGTAAATAATAGACAACTTGACCAAAACAACAACGTTTTGGGCACTTTTCTTCCTTATAATTCATTTTTTTTTCGAGCAAATTATAATTCTCATATTTTACCTCGGCCATAGTTATTAAGTCTTAATTAAGAAGATCCCGCAAAACTTGTTACCGTAGGGCTGATCGGCGATTGTCCAGCACAGCCTGCATGATGCGGGTGGAGAAAGTTCAAAACAACCACGATTTCTTTGCAAACAACCCCTTCACGCCCTGTCGCAGCCTTTCCGAAATTGTTGTTCACCGGAATCTGTCCAGACCATCGTATTTATCTGAATATCTCGCATGCGCCTCGATTTGCTGCGGCAACGGCTCTCTAGAGCGTGAGAGCTGAATCCCTCCTGTAATGTCCGCTTGGTGAGACCCTTCCCCAACACTTGCAAAACAAATGTTGTTCCCACCTGTTCTTGATGCGGTGAATGCTTCAGATTAATTAACAATCCTCAACTAGATCCTGCGGACATGACCTCTAAGACTGTTGCTATCAGCTCTTGCCTCCTTCCTAGCTTCCACCCCACCCCCCTCTACCTGAAACCTCGTCCTGAGACCAACAGCCCGACCAAACACCTACTGGGATAAGCTTAATCCTGGTTCGAGCTATTATGGTCTCTCGGTCCGCCGAAGGGAATGAGGGGCAGACTCGCCCTCTCACCCCCTCCTCCAGGACGCCCGGAACCCCGATAAAGCCGCGATTGACACGAGTCGGAACAAGTCCGTCGAAGCGTGAAGAGAAACCGAAGGATGATAAAGTGAAGTCGTCGGCGAAAGATGTCGCGGAGCTCAAAGACTACGTAGGGATATGTCTTCAGTATCGGTTGGGCAGATGCTGACTGGCTTAACAGCAATTGGGAGACTGTTTGGGCAAAGGCGCTTTTGGTTCAGTCTACCGCGCACTGAATTGGAACACTGGGGAGACCGTCGCAGTCAAGCAGATCAAGTTGACGGACCTCCCCAAGAGCGAATTGCGCGTTATCATGGTATGTTGGTTGCTTATCCTTCGGGGATTTGATATGGCTAACGCGCGGTGTAACAGCTTGAAATTGACCTTCTGAAAAACCTGGATGTGAGACACTTCCGATGATATGTTTGACTGAGCTTCTACTGATCTTTATACTCGCAGCATCCCAATATCGTCAAGTACCATGGCTTTGTGAAGTCTGCCGAAACCCTAAACATCATCTTGGAGTACGTTTCTTTGGGTTCCATGGTCATTGGACCGCAAATCTAACATTGACAGGTATTGCGAAAATGGTTCCCTGCACTCGATTGCAAAGAACTTTGGTCGTTTCCCAGAGAATCTCGTTGGTCTCTATATGTCCCAAGTTCTTCATGGTCTGCTGTACCTACATGAACAGGGAGTCATTCACCGAGATATCAAGGGTGCCAACATTTTGACCACGAAAGAAGGTCTTGTCAAGCTTGCAGATTTCGGTGTCGCGAGTCGTACCACGGGATTGAGTGAATCGAGTGTGGTTGGTACGCCATATTGGATGGCCCCTGAGGTCATTGAACTTTCCGGTGCAACAACGGCTTCAGATATCTGGAGTTTGGGATGCACCGTCATCGAGCTTCTCGAGGGGAAGCCCCCTTATCACAACATGCAACCGATGCCAGCATTGTTTCGCATCGTAAACGATGATCATCCTCCCTTCTCGCAGGGTGCCTCACCGGTATGCTTTCTTCCCATCACTGAGATTGTCTGGTACTGACATCATCTAGGCTGTGAAAGATTTCCTTATGCAATGCTTCCAAAAAGATCCTAACCTCCGTGTTTCGGCACGAAAGCTACTCAAACATCCATGGATTGTCAATGCCCGCAGATCAGACTCGGTGGTTCCCAAGAAGTCAACAGAATACGAAGAGGCTGTCAAGAGTGTCCAAGAATGGAACGAAGCTTTGCGGTCACCCGAAGCAGGGACTTCAAGAAGGATACAGAAGCCTGACTACCATAATCCTGCCGCCATTCCATCTTCTCGAAACACTCCATTGGTAGATACTCTACCATCACCAACTTCTGTCAAAACCACAGATAAGTTTCGCTCGCCCGAGTCCGCACAGGATGACAATTGGGATGATGACTTCGCTACTGCGATCTCTCCTAGCGCACTCAAGTTGCCACATCTACGCCCACACGATAACTTCGGAGGCATGCTCTCTTCTGAAAGACTGAAAGCCTTCGCCTCGCTTGATGGGACGATACTCAGATCCGATGACAGCTTCGAGGAGGAAAATTCAGGATTCTCGGACAATGATCCTCTCCAAACGATTCGACCATATCCTACTAAGCCAGCAGCACAAGAGCCCTTGAAATCATCGAGTCCTACGCGCCGCCAACCTTCTAATCCTCCTGCTTCTGCTTTGCAAAATGTTCCTATCCTCACTCAAAACCCCATGCCCAGACGGGCTCGTCCTGCTGCTCTCTATAAAGAGAACTCCGTCGAGGACTACAGCGACCTTATCATGGCAAATGAAGATGTGCTAGATCGGAAGTTGGGAGGATACCAGGTGAGAATTCTGCAATCTTGACAAACCATTGCCTTTCTAACACATTGCAGGACTTTGAGGATGATCCTTCTTCTCCCATCCATGAAAATGTAGGGTACAATCCTCCCGATGATGAATTTAATAGCGCATACCCCCAGCTGCGCAAACAGCTCTCCGTTAAGCGAGACCGCTCTGCCATCGAAATCCAACGGTTTGCGGAGAACGAAACCGATGAGGATTTCTCCGATATTCTTGGTGCCGATCAAGCGGCTCTAGATATCGCCGAAAGCGACGATGGCTCGGACCAGAGCAGTACATTGATGTTAAACTCCAAGCTGTCCAACAATTCATGGCTTGGCGACCAAGACGACGATGATGACCCATTTGCGCAGTTGGAAGAAGGATTCGACGAGATGGATCTGGAGGCTAACATTGCCCGTGACAAATACGCTCGTCTACGAAACCAAGTTGAGGGCCTCGTGGGCTCTCTCAAAACATCTCAGGATGAGGAGGTTCTCGCAGAGATTTCCGATCAGCTGTTCAACATCTTCTGTGACCTCCCAGAAACAAAGAACATCATCATCAGTGCTCACGGAATGTTGCCTATTCTTGAGATCCTTGACACTACTCGTCGACGTGATATTGTTTTCTGTCTGTTGAGGGTCGTTAACGCAATCATCTATGACGATTATGAGATCCAAGAAAATCTATGCTTCGTCGGTGGTATTCCCATCATCAACGAGTTCGCATCCAAGAAATACCCTCGAGAGATTCGACTGGAAGCTGCAGCATTCGTGCAGCAGATGTATCAGACTTCGACCCTCACGCTACAAATGTTTGTCAGTGCTGGAGGTCTGAATGTTCTAGTGGAGTTTCTGGAAGATGATTACGAAGATGAACGTGAACTGGTGTTGATTGGTGTGAACGGCATCTGGAGTGTCTTTGAGTTACAAGTAGGTATTTAGCTCGTTGCACGTTGCTCCCCAGGCTAACATTTTCTTCAGGGCTCCACTCCCAAGAACGATTTCTGTCGAATTCTGTCTCGAAACTCTGTCCTTGATCCTTTGTCTCTAGTGCTGAGTCGTGTTCTCGACGAAGACGGGGAATTGGCAGAGGTTATTGAGGGTCGCATTGCCAATATCTTCTTCATTTTCTCGCAGGCCGAGAATCATGTCAAGGAGATGGTGGCCGAACGAACAGTCCTGCACAGTAAGTATGCTCTGGGGAAATTTGTAGGTTGATGCTAACTATCACTTCAGGAGTCTTGAAAGAACTCAGGCGCATGAGCCCCATCCACCAGATCACAATGTTGAAGTTCATCAAGAATTTGTCCATGCTGTCAACCACGCTGGATTCACTTCAAAACTCCAATGCCATCGACGTCTTAACTGACCTGCTTCGATTTAATCTGAAACGGACCCATTTCCGCGAGGTGTCGAATCAAATCCTGAACACGATCTATAACATGTGTCGCCTGAACAAGTCTCGGCAGGAAGATGCAGCATTGAACGGCATTGTTCCGCTTTTGCAAAAGATCGTCATGACAGAACGGCCGTTGAAAGAATTTGCTTTGCCAATTCTTTGTGACATGGCACAGTCTGGAAAGGTTGGTCGTCGCGAACTGTGGCGCAACAAAGGCCTGGCCTTTTATATCACTCTCCTCGCGGATCCTTATTGGCAAGTTACTGCCTTGGATGCTGTTTTCACCTGGTTTGTCCCTCCCCCAAAACTATATGTTTCCTTAACTGACAATGACCAGGCTTCAAGAAGAGACAGCTAAGGTTGAAGAGCATCTTTTGGCTAACCGCTTTGACAAAGCGACATCCTTCACTGATGCTATTGTAAGATGCTTGACGCTTTCCAAGGCCAATGCATTTGAGAACATTCTCGACCCACTACAAAAGCTTCTCCGTCTGAGTCCCCCAGTTGCATCCACTTTTGCACGGCCGGATCTCTTCACAAGACTGAGACAAAAGCTGCACCACAACAAGGCTGCGGTCCGACTCAACCTTCTGCGTATACTGTCTAGTATCTGCGATTCAAGTGAGCAGCAAGGTGGTTTGCTCGCAACTTACGGTCTTCTAGATGCCATTCGAGAACTGGAGAATGACCCAGCCATTCTTGTTCGAGATATGGCAGGGAAGCTAGTACAGTCAAGCGAAGCGTTCAGTCTCAGCAAAAGAAGACCCACAAACCGACGACAAAGCACATCTACCACCCCACCCATTGCGTTCCCTGGTTCTTCTACCCCATCCACACCCTCGTCGAATCGCACCGGTCAACCAAGAGGATACTTGGAAGGACGAGAGACACCCCGGCACCCCCGAAATTCTCTCAGTGTTTCTTCTCTGGCCATGAGACCTGGCAGCCGGGATGGCAATAACCCAGCACTCGGATCTTCTGCAAATAGCAGTGCAGCCGCCCTAGCGAGACCTCGGTCTGCGCGACCACTCTCTAATAGGATGTCTCACGTCGACGTTCTACGTGAAGAAGACAATAAAACCCCGAGCTCCTTGGGTCGGCGACCTTCAGTCATTCCTCGACGCCGCCGTCCAACACTTGCTGATTCCGAGTGGACATGATCCAGCCTTTGGTGATCCATCTGGTTTCTTGCAACATTATATGTTTGTTTTACTGCATTTGCAATTTTATTTGGTTCATTCTGGCCTGTCCCATACCCAGGCAGTGGCGTTGTCAACCCCAGAGGGGAGAACTATGGGTTGATGGTTAAGGCTTGTAAAACTATTCTGTTTTGTACCTATGCGAGCCTGGTTGCTGCACATAGTCTACATACTTTTTTTGAATCAAACATAATTACTTTGTTCTTCATTTGCGTTCCTGGTTCCTATATCTTCAAAGTGTATCCCCTTGTGTCAGATCCTGTTTTCCTTTGATATGACCACCTCGACAGGCAATCTCTCAATGAGTCCAACTTATAACTGTAGTGTTCCTGATATTCCCCTATGACGTCGCCGACCTGTTCGGGATCACGTGTAATGCCGGAGCCGATTGGCGGCGAGAACCGTGAAAATCTCCATACATCAACAGATCATACGATGCATTGAACTCAGAAACCCTGACTACCAATTTCTGCCTCTCCCCAATTTCATTTCTCCTGCTGTTAGGCCCGTGGCCTTCGCTACGGAATGAGCGCAGCGCTTCGTTTGCCGTGGCGGGCAATCAAGTCTGAACCCGTCACGGTAATCGGCAAAACATCAATTGCCTCGACTTTGGGCTCCTCGTCTCGTTTGACCACAAACACGCCGCTTCGATCATTGCGCTTTGTTAGTACAGCCGGTACACCATCATGGGGCTGTACGCGATACCCCTCGAGTTCGATTTCTACTTCTTCTGGTCGTTGCTTCTCTACGCGGACCTCGCCTCTCTTGTCGCAGGTACAAAGTGAAGCGGGTACAAGGGAGAGTGGAAAGAAGGATGGACTTAGGCGGAAGATTGTCGTCTTGGCTATTGTAGGTTTGCTTGGTGTCGGGGCAGTGACATTGTCTCCCAATGCGAAGCATGCATATGAAGCGGCCAAGAGAAGTGGGCGTGTTGCTGGCACTTTGGCCGTTTGTATTAATGAGTAAGTGGAAGAGCTTCTTACTGACCTCTTCCATTCAATCTGAACCGCGTCGCTAATCTGATCCCATCTTCAGTTACCGCGTAACCTTGAAACAAGAAGCCTCGTCCCCCGCCGAACACGATGAACTGATTCGCGCATGCCACAAACGATGCGCCGAGCGTACCCTCCGAGTTCTCGAGAAGAATGGATCGATCTTCATCAAGCTGGGCCAGCATCTCAGCAGCATGGGCTACTTACTTCCGCTGGAATGGACTTCGACCTTCATCCCGCTCCAGGACCGATGCCCCGTCTCGTCAATTGAGTCAATTAGCGAGTTGTTCCGCGCTGATACCGGCCAATCCATGGATGAATTGTTTGCCTCTTTCGAACCCACCCCTACCGGTGCCGCATCACTGGCACAGGTGCACATTGCCACGCTGAAGGAAACTGGACAAAAAGTCGCTGTCAAGGTCCAACACCCCGCGCTCGACGAATGGGTGCCCTTGGATCTAGCCTTGACCCGTTTCACTTTTTCCATGCTCAAGCGCTTCTTCCCCGAATATGATCTGGAATGGTTGTCCAAGGAGATGGACTTTTCTTTGCCGCAGGAGCTGGACTTCCGCATGGAGGCTCAGAATGCCACACGTGCTAGCGAGTATTTCAAGGAGCACTCTGATGCTCCATTGGTTATTCCCGAAGGTACGTATACTCTGCAAGCGTAGTAGAGGTAAACCAGCTAACAATACCACAGTGATCTGGTCTCAAAAGCGCATTCTCGTCATGGAATACATTGGCGGTCGTCGCCCAGATGACCTCGAATACCTAGATGCCAACAACATCGACCGTGACGAAGTCTCCGCAGCCCTAGCACACATCTTCAACGAAATGATCTTCGGCAACAACGCCCCGCTCCACTGCGATCCACACGGCGGCAACATTGCCATCCGCCCGAACCCTACCCGCCGCCATCACAACTTCGACATCATCCTCTACGACCATGGATTATACCGCGACATTGATCGCGATCTACGCCGCAACTACGCCAAGCTATGGCTAGCCGTCATCGACGCCGACGTCCCCCGCATGCGCGAATACGCCCAGAAAGTCGCCGGCGTGACAGACGACCAATTCCCCTTATTCGCCAGCGCCATCACCGGCCGCGACTACAGCGTGCTCACAAAGAAAAGTGTCGTTTCTTCACGCACAGCCGAAGAGAAGAAGGAAATCTCCGGTGCATTAGGCGAAGGCATGCTTCAACAACTGGTTGTCCTACTCGGCCAGGTCCCGCGCATTATCCTGCTCATCTTGAAGACCAATGACTTGACCCGCAGTCTCGACGAGAATCTGCATACGCGCCAGGGTCCAATGCGCTCGTTCCTGATTCTCGCTCACTACGCTACGCGCACCGTTTTCGAGGAACAGATGGAGTCTATTCAGGAGTCTGGTGGTGTTTTCCGGAACTTCTTCCGGTATCTGTGCGCTTGGGCGGGATACCTTCGCGTTGACATCAAGTTGTCCGTCTATGAGACCTTGTTGTCTTTTAAGTCTCGATTTGGGCTTCGGAGTGCTTAGGCACTCTGTGTATATCTTCTTTGCAGTTGCTTTAGCTAGCTCTGCTATTGTTTATTCTGTTTTATATATATCCCTGGTTTCTTTGTTGGGTTATTCTCATGAGCACGGATTATCTTGATTGATCTGTCTGTGTATCAGCGGTGGAGTTATGCATTTTCTGTTTTTACATATGGTCAACTCATTTCTTGAACAGAATGCTCAAGGGATGAATGTTTGCTGTTTCCACAAAAAGACGCGGTGCAGCCTGTACAGATAGCTAGAGTGCAGATAGAAATTTAGATCATAGAACAATTTCGTCATCTACATTCATCTACATTCATCTACATTCATCTCTACGTTATATTGACAAACAATATCTCTGGTTTCATCGTTTCATTAGGAAACTATCAAGGCGCTGCTTTTCAAAAATTGGAGTTGAGAGTACCGATCAAGGATCCCATGTGCCCGCCGAGGCGCCATCAGAAAAAAAAAAAAAAAACAAGAAAAACATCTTGAAAGCGCGAGAAAAGAAAAGGGAAAAAGAGTAAATATGTACATCAAACAAATGGGGGAATTGTTCGTTCTCATCTCGTCCATCGTGATCCGGGCACACACATTTTCAGTGGCACCGGTATCAACGAATCCCAGCCAAAAAAACACATTATTGTCAAATCTTCCGATCCAGCAGCTGATACACATCCTTGATCAAATGATTGTGTAATGAAGCAACCTCGGGATGAGTCACAGGTTTCAGAGAAACGAGTGTTGCCTCACGCAGATACTGTATCCGGCACGCTCACGCAAAATATAAAGGAAAAAGCAACTTAGATAGCGGCCGCAGGGCTGCCACCAGTCTGCTCGATATCGACCTTGACGTCGGGAATGGAGCCGCCTGTCCCGGACAGATCTGTGACGCGGGTGTTGGGGTTCTTGGTGTAGTAGTTGGCAATGGCGGACTTGATGGCATCCTCAGCGAGCATAGAGCAGTGGACTGAAAAAGCAAGTTAGAACCAAGTGAATAATCATTGGGAGAGGGATGGGGAAGACATACGCTTGACGGGAGGAAGGCACAGCTCCTTCGCCACATCGGTGTTCTTAATCTTGCCAGCTTCATCAAGGGTCATACCGCGAACCAACTCAGTCAGATAACTGGACGAGGCGATAGCACTACCACAGCCGAAAGTCTTGAAGACGACATCGTCGATACGGCCGGAGTCCTTGTTCACACGGATCTGCAACTTCATGACATCGCCACAGGCGGGCGCGCCGACGAGACCGGTACCCACGTCCTGGTCGCCCTTCTGCATGGAGCCGACATTGCGAGGGTTGTTGTAGTGGTCAAGGACCTTCTCGTGGTATCCTCGGCGCTGCACAGCTGGGGCGGGAGTAGCACGGTTGATGGGTTGGGCGGACTGGAGGCCGGAGAGAGGAGCGAAGGCGCTGCGAGTTGCGACAGAGCCAACGCGAGGGGCGATAGTGACGAGGCGCTTGAACATTGTGATTGGTATTGATGTTATTGATGGGTGGTGTATGTAGAGGTGAAGTAGTTTAAGAGGCAAAAAGATGGATCTGATAGGGAGTGATGAATTCATAAATAATCTGATCGGGCATTATATAAGCACGCTAAGCCTAATGGGGTAGCTTGTCTGGCCGGATTCGCCGGTGGTCGGAGATGACAAAGATGACGTTCCCCCTTTTCTTCTCTTTTCCATCTGATATGAGGATATGAGTGTAGCATTACATATTTTACGGGGTTTGCTGATCTGTGCCAGTGAGAGAGCTTCTGCGTGATATCAGTTCTCAGGGGTGGCGAGTTCTCTGCACCACTCAAGTTGTCCGCGGTGGACTCATCCGGCCAACGTTGTGTTTCCCGCCTCTCCGGGAGCCAATTGTCGGTCGATGATATCAAACGGTGGAGATAGCTTTAGTGATGGGCAAGTGAAGCCTGGCGATCACACTGGTTACAAATTCTAGTCAGATTATTCTGACTACACCTTTATGTCCACACAGCGTAGCAGAGATACTATACATTTCGGTATACATTGACACGCCTCGCCGGCTGCGGAGATATCGGAGTCACTTCCATTCGGGCTTCGGTCTCGGTGAATTCGATAGGGGTATTCATGCTAGAACTGGCAAGATAACTCAACACTTTACGGGATTTCCGCGGGGCTTCTAACCTCCCCTCAGCGGGGTTTGCTTTGAACTACACTCCACTTAGATATGTAACCCGCCTGGTTATTCAATGCTGGCTTTGTACAAACCCCGTGAGCATTGTCTTTGAACACTCCAATCTGAGGATAATCTAAGCTACACATCATCTAGTTCATTGTTCAATATGCGGGGTAGCAGGGTCTGTATCTCTTGAGGTTCACCGAAGGCTAGTTCCGGGCATTAAGGACTCTCATCCCCCGATCATTAACTTGCACTCAAATGACGAAAATCAAAATGAAAAGAGCATCTTACAAAGTCAATAAGTGGGACCAAACGCTGTTTCTCTCCTGCAGAATATCTTTACTCCTTGTTTTCCGATAAGGTAAATTCATTGAAATAAACCGTTGGTTTACTACCAACCCAATTCTAGGATTGTCACCGACAGCGACATTCCCTGTTTCTGTTATATTATTTTAAGATGGAGTAGAATGCTGAAACTAATGCTTCGTAGAACATCTCCGTTGAGCGCATTTCGCTGAGACCCTGATGTTTGGGGAACTGATCAAGACATAGTATCTTCCCAGTCCTGCATAAATCGTTCAATCCATTTCCATAACTTGGGAGACGCGACAAACATATTTTCCGAAGTGTCCGTAGATGGTTCAAATCGTGGATTACGACAGCACCACTTTAGGCAGCTCCTCAGACAGCTCGAGAGAGACTGGAGAATTGACATTCACCATCGATCCTGGGCTGTTGAGGCAACACCCGCTATAACGTACGCGTAGCCATGTTGCAGTACTATATGACTAAGTCTCTATCCTGCTTCGCCAGACAAACTCTACTCTAATCCACATACAATCCTTAACAAAACACGATATCACACTATTGGACAATGCAAAAGTTATAAACATAATGCAACTTCAATTCTAGCAATAAACCCTATATCTCACAGAGCCTCACGAACAGCAGACTTGAACTAAAACCAGAACAACACAATTAGCATACCCACACTCCAAGAAAAGAAAGCATCCGTTCCCAGAGACCATCAACATACCGGAATGATCTGCGCCTTCTCCATATCCCACACGCCACTCTTGACATAAATATCATTGTTGAGCAGCTCGAGAACCTGAGCCTCGCTCTCTGCAACAGCCAGCATCATGCTTCCCTTGAACGAGGGGATTTCCCCGTCGGCCGGGTGGGCGTTGAGCATAGCGCCTATAACGTATTAATATTGATACTTGCGGTTTTAATTGTGTTGATTGTCCAACATACCACCTGCAACAATAGTCCCAGATGCGACGTGCGGCTTGACGCCTTCGAGGTGCAACCTGATAAGATATGACTCCAATCAGCCAAGGTCCGGTCCAACAACACACAATTCAGCCAAGTCCAGCCATGCACAGCAAGGCTCCTAGCCCAGACTTCGCTGCTCTCATTCTCTGTGCATATCTCTGCATTTCTATACCCCAATCAAATTCACCACCGGGACAGCAAAAACTCACGGCCGGACTTCAAGACGCTTAGCCTGTGCATCAGGCTTATCAGGCAGAATGCAAAGGAACTCCTTCTTAGCAGGCGCAGAAGACATATTGCGAACTTGGAAAACGGATCGGAAGGTTGGAGAGGGTAACTTTTGGTGAAGTAAATGTCCGGGCAGTCTTGCGGTTGTTGAGGGAGGTGAGATGATGGTGAATGGTTGTGGTGGGATGCGGAGGGTTTGCCGAGCGTGGGGGAAAGCGGGGACTGCGCGTGAGAGCGCTTGGGGGATACGAGCTGGCATTGAGGTGTGATTCGGGTATTTTTGGGGTGTTATAGGGGCTTATTAGAGGGGATTGGGAGGTCTGGGGATTTCTGGTGAGGGTTTGGAATGCGGAGGTTGGGGTTTGGGGTTTGTTTGTGGATGTGTTCGGCCGAGGTCTATGGAGATATAAACTGTATTGCCCTCATTTCTTGGTATTGGATCTACAGTAGCATTGGGGCTGGAATTGACTAATATGATTTATATGGCGTGTTTGCTTAGGGACTTTTTGTAGGATGATCAGAATCGTACCAATTATTATATACAAGAACGAGGAGAGCCAAAGTGCGCTGAATATCTGCTTTGCTTCATCTGCAAGAAAGCCAGGCACATCACTGTGTCCCGAGGCCGATGCAGAGCAAGATCCAAGCTGCAATGTTTGGACTAGTGCCATCCACCTATCACCGAAAGAAAAGAAAAACCAAAGACGCCAGCTCGGACGTGACAAAATGGAAGAATGAAGGGAGACGACAATTTGGAGGAAATCTGCATAGCAGACTGAAAGAATAAACTTGGCAAAGAGAAACAGACATGACATGACAGCAACGGCCCGGTTCTCGGACCCTAGAGTTGGTTTGCAAGAAGAACAGAAGATCGAGATGGAATATCAAACTCGAGTGAACAGTGAATAGTAAACAGTGAACATGCCCGGAGGTCACCACCCCGTCTAAACTGTATAGGAAGGGGCGTGTGGTCCCAGTGCACGATTCGTTATATCAGAGGCCATGAGAACCGGCGAACTCTATAGACCTGCAACCCGCCAAACAGCATTTTCCCCCGTAGCGCCAAGGTAACAAATACACACACTCCCTAGAACGCGGCAAGATACAGGATTAGGGAAATCATTAGGCTTCCGTCGCGATACATCCGTCCAAGAAGAGAAAAAGAAAAGAAAATGTGTCACAAGGGAAAGGAAGTGAAGCCGAAGCGAGTCCCGATTATCAGGGTGAGGCGCACGGCGGGAATGGAAGCTGATGGATGTTCGGGGACGGAACGGATTCAAAGATCAACTTGAATCTCAAGCGGCGAGATTTCCGGCTGGAACGTGGACGGCTCTAAAACGCTTTGCGCTCTCCGAGGTTGCCGGGCTTCTCGTCGGTGTCTATGTGCCAGACCACATAGTTGGGCAGTCCGACTACCTGGTAGCCGGCGCGCTTGGCCATGCGGGCGAAGCCTTCGGTCTCGGCTTGGTTCTCGAATGCGTACGCGGGGAAGTTGATACCTGAGCGGTGGACATCGGCCTTAACGAGGATGTTGACACCGCCAATTCCATCAAGCTCCACCTCCTCGTCCTTGTTCTTGCGCCAGTCACCCATGCTGACCAGGTAGGTACGACCGGTGTCGTACTCCTTGTAGCCTTCGGCCAGAATAGTGTCGGTAGGCAGAGTCGCACGCAGGCGGCGACCACGGTCAGATTCGATCCAGGAGTTGTAGTCGACTAATAAAAGCAAATGTCAGCAGGCTGTACGGGATACACAACAATGCGGATATAACATACAGCGACCCTCGATGTCACGGCCATCTCTGTAGCGGTGGAACCAAATGTCTAAATATCTTGTCAGCAATTGCCCAGCCCGAATCTCAATGTCATCACGTACTCGGTACAAGAATGTCCTTGTCGTGGGCCATGAAGTCCTCCAGAATGCGCTCTGGGCAGTCCGTGATGTCCACGTCACGCCAGTACACCCAGGAGTGATCGGGCTTGAGAGCCGAGTAGAGGAGGTAGTTGCGGGCACGGCCAATGGCCTTGCGTCGCGGTCCCTGAGCAGCAAATGAATGACGCTCAGCTACACTCATCTCAACATCGGCACCGAAATCCTTCTTGATCACAGTAGCACTGCGGAATCGAATCTTCTCATCGGCGTGATTCTGGATGCGATCGAGCTCGGAGGCGAGGTTGGCCAGGGTGTCGTCTTTGCAGTCGCCGACAAGGAAAGCCAGGTCGATCAATTCGTGGGGGTAGGTCAGCTTGTACAGGAGGTCGAAGTACTTGGCCAGGTAAGGAGCGGCGTCGCGGAGAGGAGTCAGGATGAGAACACGCTCATGGTTGAGCGCTGCTTGGGTGGTCGACTTGATGGGGTTCAGGTCGACTTCGGCGATGGAGGTGTTGTTGACTTCGTAGGGTTCGTGGCGGTTGAAGATGACAGGGGTCTGGGCGTGCGCATTCCACTCAACCATCTCGTTGAGGGACATCTCCATGGGTGACTTTGATGACCCATAGCAGTAGAAGCTGTGGACACTCGGGTCAGTATACGATTCTGGGTGCTTTCTGGGTGCGCTCTGGGTGCGTTCTGGATGTGTTCTGGATGCGTTCCGGGGTTTTCTCACTTTTGCATCTCCGACGCAGACCTGCTCACGCCGCGCCACATGAGGATCAGCAATCCCGTCAAGGCTATCGAGACCAAAAAGCGAGTCCGCGTTAATAAGACAACGATTGCCCTCCATGGCGGCAACCTGGCCTTCGCCGACTTCCAATTAACACCACCCTTGGGTAACAACATTTCGGGACGCGTGAAGAATTCAGGAGAACAGGGCGATCCGGGGTCTCGATGTCTCTCGAAAACCCCCCGACCGAACGAATGTGGCGAATAGGAGAAGTTGGGAGGCGAGATGAGAGGTTGATAGGGAGGAAAAAGAGGAGAGACGGGATCGCTGGGGGAAATGCGAGTGCCAAGCGGAACGGCTAAAATCAGCAAGTAAGACAACACACGACAAACCTCGTTTTTATGTACGTTTAGTTGTTAATTGTCGATATTTAGGGGATTCTATCTGGTCTACTCTACTAACTCATCCATGCTTTGTGGTAACTTCGTCGGCCAGGGGTGTGGTCCTAGAGATCTGACAGCAGACCCTTTTTTATCTTTATTTATAGCCCATGATCGACTAGAACCTCCACGGATATTTAGACAGGGTGCCATGACGTTGTATAAGTATACAAAACTGTGACTTGCTCTAATCTGATGGGTTTTATGTCCACACAGGTACAGGAATACGCATATCGTTACCCCTGTATGTTATTTCTGCAGGGATTGCGTATACACACGTCCACGGGAGTACATAGACACGTATAAAGTACTTAACACAACATTAACAATCTTTCTTCGGCTGATATACCCACATTCCGAATCTCATGTTCTCGTAATTATCCTCTAAGTGAATAGTACATGTCGAGCCCGGACGATCACAAAACACAGTGGAGTCTGCGTTTGAGGATAAACTGAAACATAGTTTCGACCCAACTAGGATCTCCTACATCTTGGGCTTTACTGTATGATCTCTAATCACTCATACTTCCCTCAAAACTGAATTTTATTCTACTGCCTGCTTGCAATACAAATAATGACTAACACAATGAACGTGGGGACACTTGTCCGCTTAACACAAGGCTAAGACTCGGCCGTCTCCACCGGCTGATCGTCCTTTATCAAAGCGCTGATTCGTTCAGACATTCTCGACTACTCCGTATAGGTATATGTAATACCTGCAGTATGGCTTCAAATCGGTTCTGCTCTATCTGTTTGAGGCGCAAACTATTCTCATTTTCCAGAATATCAATATATATATATACAAAGGGGGAAGACGCGTAACACCGTCTCTAACTATTCTATCAGTTATTGCTTAAAGGCTCATTCAATTTCTTGGTGGAGACTTCGGAATATATTTGCACAATATATATTGAGGATAATCCGATAGAGAAACGTAAATATACAACAAACATCGACAAAACCTTTTATACACTCTTCTTCTACAGTTTAGCCGTCTCCATCATCTTGGTTGAGCATGAGAAATGATACATACCTAATGCTGAGGCACAATGAAATTTCATTAATGGAGCCCGATATAATGAAGAGAAGAAGAATATCACGATCAATGAGCTCAGTCAAATTATTGATTTCTAACTAACAGGATTTGCACAAGCTTTAACCATCGCTTGCTAATTAGTTCACACCATCTCATCTGATGAGACTCAGCCTACATTCACCATGTTGGCGGAAGATAAAGGGACAGAGAACTTATGGAACTCCATGGGATCAAATAAAATCGATATACTCGTTCTCGTCTGGAGATTTACGATTACAATTACATAGAACCTGCAAAGAGAAGCTTGATATTATCATCAAAGATGATCCATTGAGTCATAGCCATAGACATAAGATAAATAGTGACAAAAGAAATAATAAAATAAGAAACAAGAAAGCTCGAGGTATTTACACCAAGTCGTATATATCCACACTCAACGCCAAAGAGCAAAGAAAATAGAAAAAGAAAGAAAGAAAGAAAGAAAGAAAGAAAGAAAAGCACACATTTTGTCCAAGAAGAGAAGAAAAAAAGTCGCACAATAATCCACCGAAATATAGAAACAAAGGAAAAAAATCCAAAGGAGCCCTCTTGTTCGCCCCAGTGTCAAAATATGTTACACAATGCAGACGCTAAAAGCACATAGAGCAGGAAGACGACAGACTGCAAGGGACAACGGCTGGAGGAAATGGCACAGAAAGAAAGCCAAGATTTGGGGTGTAGGTCATAGAATCATCGGATCATCAATCTGGGCGCGGGCTGTTCATGGGGAAGGAAGTAGAGACTGGCGACGAGCCACGCTCGGGAATGTGAAAGAGGAAGAATGAGATGGAGGGAAAGCAGGAGAAGAAGGGCCAGTCATTGGGGGAGTAGCACTCAGGTAGGAGCTACCGAAGGACTGTGAGCTCGAGCTGGGAAGGGAGTCGTGGAAGGGACCAGCAGATGAAGGCTCCATGTTAGCCGCGATCTCATCACAGAAGACCCGCAGACCA